TGTCAATCTTTTAGATTATGTTCTTTCTGATCCTAGCCGATATGGGCAATTTGATCGCCAACTCGTTCATCGCCGGCTACATTTTCTCGATTGGAGGCGTTTTCTGCATGAACGATGTTCTATTCTACATTTCTGGAGCTTACAATTTTGGTGGGTTTCTTTTCTGAGATCCCACTTCAGATTTGTTGGTTGTTTAGCAATTTGGGCTGTTGCTTCCTACTATTACATTTTATTGGCTTTCAACCGTTTGGTCATCGTTCTTGACAACAAACATCTCACTCAAGTCTTCACGGTCAGAAATCGGGAATTTATCGTTTTTTGGATCAAAAAAAGGGCGATTCCCTAGGCAGTGCATTCTAGAATTGGGAAAATTTCAAACGATCGTTTAGAATTGGATTTTTTATCCATTTTATCCACTATTACCGATCCAGAGTATTACAAAAAGGATTGCAAATGAATGGAATTCCCAACATTGTCAACAATGAATGGGAATGGAATTCTCAACATTCCATTCAGGTTATTCCCATCTCATTGTGGATCCTCGGTGGGCTTCTCTATGGAATTTGGATCGCCGTTGGCACAAAGTCGATTCCTTTCAACAGCAAAGCATTCAGTTGTATTTATGTGCCGGCGATCGAGAGTCTCGAGAAGGTTGCAAAGAATTCTTAACGATACGAAACGAACTAGAACTAGAAATCAGAGCTGAAGCACTATCGTTGAAAGATTTGAACTATAAACTTGGATTCAGTTTTTTGACATTAACATTAAATCAGTTGTAAAGAATTTTTAACGATACGAAACGAACTAGAATTAGAACTCAGAGCTAAAGATTTGAACGTTGAAAGATTTGCACTATAATTGATTCAGTTTGAATCAGTTTTTTTGACATTGACATTCAACCAGTTGCAAAGAATTCTTAACTATACGAAACGAGCTAGAATTAGAACTCAGAGCTAAAGATTTGAACGTTGAACGAAATCTTTATTTACACTATAATTGATTCAGTTTGAATCAGTTTTTTTTGACATTAACATTCAATCAGTTTCTAGTATTGATAAGAAGAAATGACAATCGTGCGTTTAGGAGCTGCCAATGTACGCAAATATCTGGCATGTCTATCACAATGTGGGAATCGGAGTTGTGATGTCCGCGCTCTACACGATCATTTTTGTCTTGCTAGGAAAGAAACGAGAAACGCGGATTTCAAAAGCGGAAATGAGCGTGAGTGTCCAAAGTGGAAAATGAATAAAATACGGTAGAATCGTGGAAAAATTGTGGAAAGAATGCTGTCTAATTTGTCCAATTTGTCTAATTTGAATGCTTGAAATGAGCAAATCTGGAAAGCTGATAGCTGATAGATAAAAAGCTGATTTGACTCCTCTTTCGAATCTCTCTCGTACTTTTCGATCGTTTATTGTCAATCTTGCTTTTTAGGCTCTCGTTCAAGCCATTTTGATCACGATCCCAGCGATGAGCGCTTCATGGCTCTATGTCTACATCCAATTCTTCCAAGTGGCCACCCGTGAGATGGCAATCGCCGGCCATTTCCTTTGGCAAACCACTGGTGGTGGGAAGGTTTTGGAATACTTCGGCAAAAATAAAATATACTTCGGACTGGCTTGATCTGATCCGTGCTTTCTAGAGTATTGGCCCAAATGGCCAAATGTTTAGGCCAAATGTCTAGGCCAAATGTTTAGGCCAAATGTCTAGGCCAAATGTTTAGGCCAAATGTCGATCCCTGGCCAATCGAGCCTCTATGTTTTTTTTCCGTATCTGCTATATCCGTATCTGCTATTGTAGAGGATCAATAAATTTCAGGAATCTCGGCCTTCATTTACTTAATCTTCAATCCAAGCATTCGCGAGTTCTACCGTGGAAATCGAGGCGTGATCCAGTCATCTCACATGGAAGATTCACGCAAGAGCTCCCACAAAAACACCTTGAGCGCCCAAATATCAGCTACCTAAATGTGCCTGAATACCTGAATACCTAAATACCTTTGTAAATCAATGATTCGATCAAATCAATGCCAATATTCTTTGTAAATCAATGATCAATATGCTTTGTAGATCGATGGTTTGATCAAATCAATGATCAATATTCTTTGTAAATCATTGATTTGATCAAATCAATGATCAATAAGCTTTCTAGATCAATGATTTGTCAGCTACTACTCATTTGTTTTTGTGTTTTAACAGAATTTGTACTCCTTTCCCCTAGTCATTTTCCTCTATCTTTATATAAATAAAACAATCTCATTTGAACAAACTATAAATATCAAAAGTATCAAAAATATCAAAGACGAGAATAGGAAGAATGTGAAAATTGAATGAACCAAATTCGGGACAATTACTCAAAAACGACAAAATCGGTCGTTAAACATGAATGTCACAATAATTGCTAATAAAACATTTCGAAGAATGACAGGAATCGTACAAACAACGCTTTTAAAGCGGAAAATTTTCATGTATTTTCAGAAATCGTTTGTATTTTTAATTTTATCCCATAAATTTGTTGTTTTTAAATTTGGGGTGGCTACTTTGCGCCAAATTTTTTGCGCAGCTCGCCATAACTTTCTCCTAAGTGGGCCAATCTTTATGATTGTAGATCTCAACAAGTGCAACAAAGTAACACCAAAATCATAAAGATTGGCCCTTAGAAGAAAGCTATGGCGAGTTGCGCAAAGAATTTGGCGCAGAGTAGCCCCCCCCCCTTTTTACTTTTTAATTTTATTTTTCAGATATGGATCTCGATGGGAAATCGCTCGATGGATTTGAGGAATATCGGGGTCGTTGCGAATACGAAGAACACAGGGAATTTTTCAAAGAACCGTATGATGAACGAGCCGAACGAGATGCCAATGGGAGCTCGGTCAACGCTGAAGTTCAAGGATCTTCAAGTGAATCGGATGAGCTACCTACAAAGAAAAAAAAGCCATTGATGTGAAAACGAAATTGGCTGTGTGCTGTGGCAAGATGGGCAATGATGTTTCGATCAAAGCAGTCGCTGCTATAAGATTGATCGAAAATGTGTGCGTTCCTACATCAAACAAGAAATCGAGCTTGAGAAAGTCCACGGAAAACGCAAGAGACTCAATGGAGCCGGACGCCACTTGAACTCGGAGGGGATTGATATCGGTTTGGCTGAATGGATACGGGATCGTCGAGCCGAGAAGAAACTAGTGACACGAGTTGTCTTTTCTACTTGTTGATTCGGTGGGCTGGGTAAAAACGGCTACAAAAGCTATTTGAAACTAAAGCTATTAAAAGGGTATAGTTGGCTGTCAGAATAAGTTGGTAAATAAAAAAGATATAGCACAATCATGTTTCAAATAGTATTTTAGCGTGATCAGCGGATTTGCGTTGCGGAAGCGATCACCAAGGAAAGCCAAGCGAACCGTCACAGTAACAGCCACGCCGAAAAACTAAACAACAACAACTACAGTAAAATAAAGTACTGTACATTTGCCTAATCTCTAATAGATTTGCATTGTATGTACTTCGTCTGTATCGAAATTTTCAAGTTCCTAGTGTTTTTATGGGTCGGCTTGTACTCTCTTTTCCGGAGTCTCCAATGGTAATGAATTTTTGAAGAGTACAATTAATGCTTTTTACCACTAAAAGACATAATTCTCAAAGAGAAGAGTTTACATTTGCTTTTCAATTTCTTGAATTCAATTTGGCTGGATGCCATAGTAAATCTTCGAATTCTTCCCTTCAATTAATCGCCTGTCTCCCCTCATAGTGCCATAGTAAATATTTACTTTTCATAAATTCCTGCTCAACATCTGAATGGATCGACGCCAAGTGGGCACCGCTTCTTGTACAGTCCTCCTCGGCTGTTTCCCACTTATACTTGTTCATCTGTCCCTCATCATTGTAAGTGAATTCCTCAACATACAATATTATGACTGTAATTTTTGTTGCTTACATAATAAAAGTAGCAGGAGTCAGTTTCTTTGAAATACGTCCACCCAAGACGGCATTTCCCTTCGAATGATTGAGGGACTGGACAGGCGGAGACAGGCGGCGTTTTCTACTTGTAAAAAGTTTAGTTCTTTCCATAGCTAAAAATTTAAATCCGATTAAAATCTATGAATAGAAGGAAAATATTTAATCATTGGAATCTTCGAGAAGGGCCAATACTTTTTTGACCACTGTAATGGTGAAAATTCTATTTAAAACATTATTGTGTCATATTTTTTATTTACTAACTGATTCTGACAGCCTACTCTACCCTTTTAATCTTTTTAACAAGCCAAAAGTAGTTTTTGTAGCCGTTTTTACCCAGCTCACCTAATCACCAAGGAGAAAAGAAAAATTGATCGCAAAGAATCTGTAGATTATTAGAGGTCATCTGAAAAAGGAGAGAGTTAATGAATCAGCAATTTGTATTCTCAAAACAAAGCGCTTTTTGCATTTGAGCCTAGTCTAGCAATAAGTTTCTTCACAAAGTAATCTAAAATCAATGTTTCGGTTCCTAGCTTCGTTTAGCTTTCAACTAGCCAGTACGATTGATTCAGCTGGGTCAGACCCGGCTTCTGGCTGGCTCTGGCCTTGCCTGACCTGTTCTGCCCGGAAAATTGCCTTTTCCAAAAATTATCCTGTCCGGAAAATACATAGAGCTTGCTCGTTTTGTCGAATTCGGGCTTCATTTATTATTCTCACAAAAATCCGGAAGCGTTTCTTTTCATTTCGCCCAATTGTTGATCGTCTTCTTTGGCGAGAATTTGGCCACAAGAATCTAGCTGAAAAATATTTGAACTCATATTGATCAATTACATGATTTACCATATCGAAAAGCTCATAGTGCATTTCCCATTTTGGCTTTGTTTCATTCATGGTGATCATGGGAGAAAATTTAGTCTTCAAGTCTTCAATCTCTTTCTGAAAACAATACGACGGAACAATTGAAAGCTTTAAAGGATATTCAGCCTTGTAAGCTGTTTACTTTTCATTCGGGTTACTGTCATGAGACAGAGCGGCATTACGGTACTTTTAGGGATACCTGTATCCCCGTTGGATCTCATCCGGTCGAAATGAGGTTCTTCGCTGAAAAGTCATCCCTGTTGATTCCACATTTCCCTCAACTGTCACAATGATCTCGAACTCGAAGTTCTAGACTTCGAATTCACTTTTAGCTTTCATTAAGCCAACCCCTTCTTTGGTGACTCCAAAAAGTGGGCTTTGTTGATCGATGATATGTCGGATGAACACCGGCCTAAAGTAGATAAAGCGATAAATCAACTTATCGATGCAAACCACAAGAGCAACACTCGATCCATGATCTTAGCCGACATTCATATCCTTGATACCGATTAGTTCCCGGTGTCCATGCTGAATTAAAACGGCGCTTACATCAGAATCAAAAAGAAACTATGAGCTATGGAGGAATCGTGGACCAAGGATATCTCTTGGTGGATCGTCTCTCGACGATTGACTCAAGCAGAACTGTATAGCCGGAAGGCTGTACGAAAGCCTTTGACCGCCGGCCACTTTTTTTTTCAGATGCCAGGTACCTACTTGACGACTCCCTAAAAAGAACAAAAATCATGAAACCAAGAAAAAAGGAAAATTTTGACATTTCAAAGAAAATCAATACTATAGTATTGATGAAAAAGTCAAGAAATCACGCTGGGTTTTCTATCGAAAAAATCCAATTGAATCGAACAAATCCAATTGGAAAAAAGCGAGTCTCGTCTCTCTCGAGTCTAAGAGAAAAAACGACAAAAGTCAACACGAGTTGACTCAAGACAACAAAACAACTCGTGTCAATGTCAGTTCTTTTTTACACTCATTTAATAGGTTTAGCAACTATCCCTGTCACAAAAGGGTGTGCTTACGCGATGTTTTGGCCAAATAAACAACAATCATTTTCAAAGGTTTAGGACCATCTGCTTTGAATTTTTATCCATCAAAATACAAGATGAAAAATTTCTGATTCGAGCTGCTATGCTATACGATTTTAAACAACAAAAACTGCTGCTGCTCGGGAAAAAAATTGAAAAACTGTGGTTGACGCAAAGAAGTCACGCTGGGTTTTCTATCCAATAAATCCAATTGAAATGGCGAGTTTAAGAAGAAAAATGAGAAAAGTCAATCTCAAAGATATTCGAATTTCGAAAAGTGTAACTTGTAAGGTGCGTTGCAGAATGATAGGACCGCCCCTAGATTTCACATTTACGCTTAATAGCTCTGAAATAGCTTAATATCACGCTTAATAATAGCTATGACGCCTAATAGCTCTGAAATCCCAGAAATATAGACAAAAGTAGGCAGCTCGAAGCCCGAATCAGAAATTTTTCATCTTGTATTTTGATGGATAAAAATTCCAAGGCATATGGTCCTAAATCTTCGGAAATGATTGTTGTTTATTCGGCCAAAACATCGCGTAAGCACACCCATTTGTGACAGGGATAGTTGCTAAACCTATTAAATGAGTATAAAAAAGAAGTACAAAAGTAGAAAAGTAAAAATATATACATAAATTATTTGAAAGTCATTTGAATCAATTGTAGTAAAAAAGACAAGTAAATTCATTCTTGTCGATGGACAGAAAGCTCGTTGTTTATCGTTAAAAAAAATGATTATTTATGGATTTGTTTTGTTGTATCGACGATTCCTGTCATTCTTCGAAATGTTTTATTAGTAATTATTGTGACAATCATGTTTAACGACCGATTTTGTCGTTTATGAGTAATTTTTCTTTTTCAATAGGATGTGTTTCTGTATTGTGATTGATTGTTTGGATTGGTTGAGTAAGCCAGTATATACTTTTAAAAATGGGCCAGTCTTCCAGGAAATCCGAGCACAAAAGCTCGTTTTGAGTAAAATTGGTGATATAAAAGAATTCGCTAAAAAGATTAATCTGAAAATTTGGCTATAAACCTAACTTTTTGTGCTCTGCCTTTTTTTCTATTGATACTCAAATCGGTTTCTCTGGATTAGGGTGTTTAAATCTCGTAAGCGTGTCGTTGCCCTTTTTGAATGAGCGAGTTCGCACCTCCGAAAAAAAAGCAGAAACAAAACATTTTAGAGATTTCAACGATCTTTTATAGAAAAATATTAGGCCTTTCTAATGGAGCAAACCATAGGCCAATAGGTGGATTGGTTATTTCTAAATAGCTTTTTAAATGAAGTTTCCAAAGACTCATCGCCCAGCCTAATAGTTTCCTTTATGAAGAAGCTTATTGCTAACTAGGCACAAGTGCAAAAAAGGGCTTTGTTTTGAGGATATAAATTGTTGATTCATTGACTCTTTCCCTTTCCAGAGGATCTCCAACTCCGTGATCGCTCTTTTAGACACGATTCTCACTTACCTCAATCAATTCGTTTACAATTTGCTTTTCGGCTTTAATCTACAGATTCTTTGCGGTCAATTTTTCCTTATGAATCAGTATTTTCTTTTCTACTTGGTGATTAGGTGAGGTGGGTAAAAATGGCTACAAAGGTTCCTTTTGGCTTGTCAAAAAGATTAAAAGGGTGGAGTAGGCTGTCAGAATCAGTTAGTAAATAAAAAATATGACACAATAATGTTTTAGATAGAATTTTCACTTTTACAGTGGTCAAAAAAGTATTGGCCCTTCTCGAAAATTCCATTGATTAAGAATTTTCCTTCTTTTCATAGATTTTAGTCGGATTTAAATTTCTAGATACCACAAGAACTAAACTTTTTACAAGTAGAAAACTTTTAAATCGAACATTTTATTCAATTTCATGAATCCAAAGATTGTAAGAAAACATATTGTGCTTCCACAATTAAACAGTTTCTTTGTTCGCGGGTTTCTGGCAGATATATCGTGCCATCTGTCGATTATTTTCTGGTGTATGGTAGAAAATGCGTGTCTGGTTGATGTTTGTCGACTCATAGCACATCTAAAGAAATAACATCTTAAAAACATAAAAGATATAACCCTGCCATGGAAATTATCTCCCCTAAAGTTCATTTTAAGAAAAATGATTTATGGTTCTCAAGATTTGGATCCTCAAAGTGTAACCTTACGGTCAATACGGTAAAATGAATGAGTCCGTGGGTGTCGATAATTTTTCCAAATAAACAAAACAGATGTTATTTGCGGGGCTGTTCCTAGAGCCGATTCTCCAGAGCAAACAAAGCAAAAGTCAGATTTCAGGCTAAAATCAGTGATAGACTTAAAATTTGAGACCAAGGCTTTTTAGAACAGCCCTGCAAGAACATTTGTAAGAAAGAAACAAACCGAATAATAGACATTTCCGGCGACCCTGCTTAATTCTCCCCTCCAAAGGTAATCATCCGGAGTTCCATCACTGTACGTCCTCTTCCCATCCACACGCCGCAATCCGAACCAAACGTAGAATTCGGTGTCGTTGCATCCATTTTCTGGCGTCGCTTTTGGGTTATTTTTTCGGAAACTCGAGCTGATCATTTCTAAAATCATTTTGGATTGAAGTTCAAATCAGATGGTATATTAAGCACCCAACAAACAAATCCTACGGGCTCTTCGATTCTTGTTTTCTTCAGTTAATCGCCTGTCCCCCCGCTCTATCCAAAAAACCAGCTTCGCCCCCTTGCTTCTCATAAACCCCGCACATCATTTCTTTGCTCTCTTGAAAAACTTCTATTCTATTAACTTTCGAGGTCTGCGTCCAATTGTCCATTCTCAAAAGTTCATGGAAAGTTTATGCCTTTCTCTAGTTAGTTTAATGCACTTTCCCCAAAAAAAACAATCGTCAAAATGGCATTTTCTCAATTTCTTCAATTCGGCAGGATGCCATAGTAAATATTTACTTTTCATAAATTCCTGCTCAACATCTGAATGGATCGACGCCAAGTGGGCACCGCTTCTTGTACAGTCCTCCTCGGCTGTTTCCCACTTATACTTGTTCATCTGTCCCTCATCATTGTAAGTGAATTCCTCAACATACAATATTATGACTGTAATTTTTGTTGCTTACATGATAGAAGTAGCAGGAGTCAGTTTCTTTGAAATACGTCCACCCAAGACGGCATTTCCCTTCGAATGATTGAGGGACTGGACAGGCGGAGGGCTTTTTATCGGAGTTTCTGGAAATTTTACTTCATGAACGTTGAAAGAAAATTATATTAATATTATCTAATTTAAATTTTAAGGACAAATTTAATTCCTCACTTTTCCGACTCCAGGAGCCCAACCTTTTTCTTCGTTTCGACAAGTTGAGCTTCTGTTGTACCTCTAAAGTTTACAAATAAATAAAAATGTTACATTTGGATAAGAGATGACTAAATTGTGACCAAATTCTCAATGGAACTTCTCACTTTTCTGTTTCCAATCTCCCAATAAGTGTTATTGCTTTTTTGTGATCAGCATCGGCTGTGAGCCTGAATTGGATTTTCATTTTCCTTTTTCCTCTCCACCCACTTCTCCTCATTCAGCGCCTTGTTATTGGCCACACAGATGGTCAGATTTTGTTTGAAAACTTCACAACCACTTCTAAACAAAAGAAAAACTGATTTGATGAATCACTTTTTTTAATCGCTAATGGACTTTCCAACTACCATTTTTTATTCTCAAAAGAGCTCATTGTCATGTGCTTTATGGAAATTTGACATATGTAAACAAAAGGACTGAAAGGAAAATAAAGGAGAATAGAAATTGCAAAACCGACTTGCTGTCGATGAGAAGCGTCAACCTCTCCCTGAAAAGTTGATTTTTTTATTTCATTGTTCAAAATCTTCACCCACTCATTAGCCCGGCAAATCTTCAACAGGTCAACTGCTTGTTTTTCTTCATCTTGTGAAGCAGGCCTGAATTTTCGATTTCTTTAAGAAACTCTAAGAAAAAGTTACAAACTCCGAGCCTTTCGTGACAATGGACTGTGGAATGGTGTTGAGTTGGAGCTGAAATTTTGGCTTTTGAATTTCATTTGATCAAATCTTCAATTTTCTTGAACTTTTTAATAAGAGTTTGATCAGACTATTCTCTGGTTCAAATTAAAAATTCTAATCGAAACCTTCCTCAAAATTACTCACCTCTTTTCAACAAGTATGGTACCAATAATTCCGAGAAAAATTCCAATGAATATACCAAACAAAAGACCTTTGGTGTTATACGGTTTTGGAGTCAGAGTTTTTGATCTAGAAAAGACGAAAAAGTGATAAAGTTAAACTATTTGAACTTACGGTGATTGGGGCAGCAATTCGAATTGTTCAAGACCCATTTTCAAGATCGAAATGGCAAATCCATGGGAAATCGAGGGTTTAAGATCGAGAAAAATATGACAAAACAAATTGGTTGAAATTGTTTCGCCAGAAAATGCTTTTAGTTGGGAGAAATTGTTGCCGCAAAAGAAAATAAAAAAATCTCTAAGAGTATCTCTGCAAATTGATTGATTGTCTTTGACTTTGCGATCATCGAAGATAAAATTTCTCCATAAAATTTCCTTACCAAGGAATTCACAAAGGGAAAAGTTTACATTTGTTTTGTCTTGCTCTTACAAAAATCTTGCTTAAAAATTTAAAACCAATCATGGTAAAATGACAAGATTGAAGCTTTCTGAAGTGATAGTAACGCATTGATGATTGCCAAAGATGAAGAAACTGATCGAACATTTATTGTTATCTAAACCTTTTTCGCATTTCACGATTCCGCGAAAGTGACGATCGTTTTTCAAATATGATATTTCATTGTCCAGTAGTGTGTCTCTAAAAGTACCGTAATGCCGGTCTCTTGTCTCATTACAGTATTATGATTAAAGATATTGAGCCTACCGACTTTCCAAAGGGTTTGAATCTTTGTTCAGTCATATTATAGTTGTTGTGAGACCAGGGCATTTATGGGCGTTCAAAGCTAATGCCCCGAACATTTCCCGCACATTTCTCAACCAAGGTTCCATTGACGTTTGGAGAATTTCAAAAACAGCTTCAACTTTATAGCATTTTCCTTTCTAAATTCTTTATCAACATTTCAATTCTAAGGAATTTTCACGTTTTATGAATCGAAGCGGATTTCTCCGGGGAATTCTCTCTCAAGAAATAAACGCGATGATCGTGTTTTTCTTTCGCGTTAAAAAGAAGTCCATTTTTATCATTTTTTAGGCCATCTGAAATTTGTGCAAAAAGATTGACTTGATAATTTAAATAAAGAACCGGAGATGTCCCAGTTTGAGCACTTTCTTCAAAAGAAACCCATTTTGGTGTCAATAGAAAAGTTGTAGAGAATCAAAAATTAGGCTTATAGCCAAATTTCTAAAAAGAGACACTTAGTAGTTTCGCTTAAAATATAGGTTTTGTGAAAATTGGGATATAAGCTTGATTTTTGATTCTCTACAACTTTTCCATTGACACCAAAATGGGTTTCTTTTGAAGAAAGTGCTCAAACTGTCACATATGAAAATAGCCCGCAGTTTTCAATTCACCAACCCAATATTACTAGCTTATTACAGTATTGAAATTAAATGCACAATAAAATTTTTAAAATTGTTCAAATTGGTACCTTGGTTATGGATTGTGAAAGTTATGGATTTATAGATGGAAATTTTATAGATTGGGGAAGCAATGTTTGAAAATTCGGTCCCCAATTTGCTGGTAGGCAAAAGTGGGGTGGAGAGGCTCTGACTTGGAGACGGTTGTGAAACGGTGAGCTGAGCAAGGTTCTATAGATCTCCAATCTCACAAGTCATCACAAGTCATCAAAAGCATGGAGTCATCATATCGAAATAGAAAAAAGATTTGTTCAGGATTCAAATTCAAAATCAAAATTCAGCAGAGTAGTGGTGATCTTGTCAAATTCGTAAAAAATCCTAATACCAGATCGGTCATATGCCTCATTTCTGGAGTTGGGATTTGCGATGGGATTTGCGATTTGCATTATCTATATTATGATGAAGGTCACTTCACCGGCCACAAAATCCTGTCGAAATCTTCTGCTGGCTAACTTGATTGGATATTAGAAAGTTCGAAATCAATATCGCAGTAAAGAATATTGTATTTTCTCTTTTAGAATGATCTGTAGAGTCGATAGATATTACTGTCTAGGTATCACTGTCTGATAGATATTTAATAGTCCTCTTTCGCTGCACTTTTTTGTTTCATTTTGTTGTTCTGCCGGTTATTAATGTTTTTCTTTAGAGATTTCAATAAAGCTCAATGTTTTGTCAAGGACGGTTCGCCGAGCTGTTAACTTGTTCATGACAACTGGAAAAATAATTGCCCGAGCTGGACGAGAACGGAAATTAACGGTTATGGTTCAAGAAAACGTTGAAATTATTAGGAAGCGGATCAAGCGCAATGCGAAAAAATCAATGAGACAAATGGGCCGTAATTTGAAGATTAGCGGTCAGAAGGATCGGTCAGAAGGATTGTTCACGAGAACCTGAAGATTAAGAGCTACAAAATCTCCAAATCTGCTGAACTCACTGCTGCAAACAAGGAAAAACTTATAGTCGGAAAACAAGGAAAAACGACTTAGTCGATGCCATGATCTCAATCAACAGTCTGAAGGCAGCTCTTGTCAAAGCTTGGGATGATCTAGATGACGACTACCTGCGGCGAACGATCGATGATTTTCCTGGTCTTCTCCGTGAGTGTATTCAAGCAAAAGGAGGTCGAATTGAGCTTAATTGATTTTTTAATTTGATTGTTGTTTTAAATGTTTCTAAATCAATTTTTCTTTCTAAAGTCAGGTTATCTAGCAAGTAAGAAGGTTTTAGAATGGTTTTCACTTAGGAGCGACAATTTCTTTCGGTAGCTTTTGGATTTCTTGAGTCAAATTTCCAAAAATCCATATCAAATTTTCACCTGAAATCAAATCAAGATCAATTCGGCTTCATTTCATTCAACTCGACTTGGCTTTACCTCAAGCCTGACCCACAAAAAGTGTCGTCGCTCTCCAGAAGCCGATCTTGGTCCAGCTTTGTGTCAGCTCCGACTTTGCCAGCTCTGATTTTGCCAGCTCGAACTTTGTCAGTGGTCAGTTGGGTTGAGTGGAGTCAAGATCAATCCTGGCCAGGATCAGGCCTAAACTGGCCCGAACTGGGCCGAAGTTAGCTCACCTCTAAGTCAGGATCGATTCACTAGGTACTGTAATTAGCGTAAGATTATTGTAATTACCTTAAGAGTACTGTAGTGACCGTAAGAGTACCGTAATTTGCAAGTGACTACGTTTCCCCCCTCAAATAATGAAGAATTGAGTACGGAAGAAAAGTTTCACCTGGAATCTTTCTTTAAAAAAAAAAACACTTTGTCTGACTTTTTCTGGTTACTTTACTTCAAAAGTGACCGGGTTTTTGAAGAAAAAAAAACTCAATTTTACCGTTAACTGTCGAAAAAAGTCCCAAAATGAGTAAGGCCGTGAGGAAATGATTCATTTTTATAAGAAAAATCCATTTTCTACAAGCTGAATTTTCATTTATATATCAATTTTGACAAGGAAAACATGATTTTTTTTGTTTTTTTGTAAATTTTTGATCAACATCGACCAATGGAACGGCTTGGAAAATGCAAATTTTAAAATCCAACGTGATTTTTCTGATCAAAAAAGGGTAAAGATCATAAAATTTTAAATAAAAACTCAAGAATATCCTTTTTTTTTCTTTAATTCTCTGAGATCTGAGAAATTTTCCATTTTTTATGATTTTTCCACCTGTTTCTGGTGATTAGCTCTTTTCAGCCTTTTCAGAATTCTCAGAAAATTTTACCTTTCCACAAATATGCAACTCTAACTTCTGATGTATGTGAATATTTCGGTGATCGATAATGATAATTTACAAGGATTTGTGTTATTCGGCTATGCAATTGAAACCTTTTTCTACGCTTTAAACTTTGTGATCACACCGCTTGTTTACTCGTTTTTGCAGCACACTCGGGCCAGTTTTCATCAAAAACAAAGCTTAAAAGCTCAATTGTGTAAAATCTATGGTTTTTTTAGAAGAAGTACTAGAAAAAGTCCTGGTAAGTACTAGACAGGAACTAGGAGAAGTGCTGAAAAAAGTACTAGAAAAAGTACTGGAAAAAGTACTAGTAAGTACTAGAAAAGTACTAAAAGAAGTACTAGAAAAGTACTAGTAAGTACTAGACAGGAACTAGGAGAAGTGCTGGAAAAAGTACTAGAAAAAGTACTAGAAAAGTACTAGAAAAAGTACTAGAAAAGTACTAGAAAAGTACTAGAAAGTACTAAAATGATACAGTGCAAACTTCTTAGTAAGAGATTTCATTTTCTCAAATTCTCAAAGCTCAGGTTAGGTAAGACACACTCCAGTTACCATAACCCGGCCTAGAGCTCTGGGATTAGATCTTTCTAGGAATTTCTTCAAATTATTGAATGTTACAGTAACATTTACGACTACAGTAGAGGCTACTAACAGTCTGGCAAATTGAGTTTTAGTATTAGATCATAAAGAGCTGTCTAGGAAACTTTTCTGATCGTCGTTCTAAGGGTCGAGGTTCTAAAGAATGGCCCAGCCACCGTAATCGTAGTAAGAAATTTATGGTTTGATTTTTGCAAACCCTATGTTTCCTTTATTAAATTTACTTGACATTACAGTATGAACCTGGTAAAAATTAGTTAAGTTCCTGGCTCAAAAGTTACGGTAAGCTTTAAAGAAGGCTTAAGCAAAAGGCAAAGCAAAAGATCGAGGATTCAATTTGCAATTGCAATTTCTTTGCCATTCCTTTGCCCTTTACCCTTTGCCACTCCTTTGCCCTTCACCCTCTGCCATTCCTTTGCCAAAGACGGAACATACAAAAAGTGGCACAAATCAAACAAAAATGATGTCATAGAACAAAACCAATTGACTTTTAGATATGGCACCCAAATCTGCAATTCATTTGGGTAATTTGTATCTCGTGTTGTTACCCGTTTACCATCGCTCGAATTGGGATCGTTTATTATCAAATAACAAAGCTGGAAAGCTGTCAGATCTTTGCAGAAAGTAGGAATTCATTGGAGTTCAAGATTTTTTTTTGATTTTAGCTTCCAAATCTTGTCCAATTCCTTTGGTGGCAGCTTCGTACATTCGGGCGTTCATTTTCGCGTTTGTGCCAAGTGAGTAGAACTTTATTTCTTGGCATACTTTGCCTACTTTGAATACTTTGAAAGGAATACTTTGAAAAAGATAAGATTTCTCAGGAAATACGGAGTTTCTATGGGATCTATAAAGGATTGCAATGTTCTAGACCAACTTCTTAGCCTTGGCTTGGCTTTTCAGAGCTGTCAAAGCCAAAGAAAGTCAAAGTGGGTTAAAACCAAAGCAAATCCATAACCCTTTGAGTTTTGAAATAAGCCAAAGCAAGCAGTTCAGCCAAAACTAAAGCAAAACCAGCAAATCCAGCGGTTTCAAGCCAAGGCAAGTAGACAAGGCAAGTAGTTTATGGCTTTAGATCTTTGGAATAGCTCTGGAAAGATCTTTAAAAGTAAGTTTTATTAACACAACGATATTTTGGGCATACAATCGCGTAGTCATTACTGTCTGTTTACTGATAATTTGATGACATTTAATTCAAATTATTATAGTCATTTGATGGCTCTAAATCTTCTTTTGAAAACTAGCACAAAGTCCAAGAACTTTCTGCAAAATAAATAACAAAAGTTCTTTCCCTATTCTTCAGGCTTACTAAAGTGTTTTTTGTGTTAAAGAAATGAAAATAAACCTCGTATTTTCATAAAGTTCAGCCTTGCTCAACTCTGTGCTCGTCGAGCGAATCACGGCCACGATCAAAGTTGAAACCTATGAGAAAGATTTCTACCGATGGCAACCCAAGATTTTGGTGTTTCTTGCAGCCATTGTGGCCACTGTTTTCGGCTCACTTTACACATTTGGTTAGACATTTCAAATAGCTTGAAGACAATTTTGAAAAAGAAACTTTCAGCTTTCCTCTCTCGACTCACTTGTGTCTTGGTCGCCAATAGTTTATCTTTCGTCGGTGGACTGGTGAGATAAACTAAATGGTTTAAAAGTACAGGTTTAGACGTCAAATTTCTTGATTTCAATAAACGAGCGCCGAAATCGAAAACGACACCAAAGTGGCTACACACTCAGCAAGATATATCAGCTGAACGAGAATCTCAAATCGATGCAGGTAATCAAATTGAGCATTTTGGTCCGGTATAGTCAGTTAAATGTCACTAAATTGCCATTTATGTTATTAGAAATTGTAGCAAAATTTATCGACAAGTTAGGTTTGTCATCTCCTTGAAAGTTCAGAATTATCATTGCGCTTTCAAGATCCCTACATCTTTTATCTTTTGGGACTCAAAAATAGGTCGTTTTTGACAGAATGTCATTTTAAATTTGATAACAAGCTCGTATTGAGTGTAAATTGCAAAGGGAAACCTTTCCAGCAGGAAAATTGCGAAGGAAAACCTTTCCCGCGGGAAAATTGCGGAGGGAAACCGTTACCGCGCACCATCATCGGGAAATTAGAGGGAAATTTCTCGAGGGAAATGAGTGGAAAATTAGAGAGAAATGTTTCCCGTGGGGAAAATCCCCCGTACCTTTCCGGTGGAAATCAAGTTTCCCTTTTGACTTTCCCGCGCAAATTTGGCGGGAAATCAGCGGGAAACTTAGTGTTACTTGATGAGAAGTCCTTGATGAGAATTTCAATTGTTTTTCTTGCTGAATTCCAGCTGAAATGAATAGAAAGAATTAAGAATAGAGAATAAAGGCGAAATTTAACAAAGACAAAGATAAACGAATTTTTCTAAGATTGAAAAGGAAATTAAATCGCAAAAACATAATTTAATGCCATTCGTGGGGTGGTACGTTTTCGCAAAATTCTTTTAGCAAAGGGCCCTTTCTCGCGTAAGTTTTGAGCACCTTTTAGGAAATGAAAATTTAGATTGTAGATTAAATGCAAAGTTGCTAGCATTTCCCACGCTTCATCACATTTTCCGCGGGTAATTTCCACGTCGATCTTGGCAGCGTGCAATCGACCACTTGTGCATGACTTTGGCCCTTAAAGCAAAGGGCCAACTATGATGAGCTACGGGCTTTTTATTAGTGCTTTTAAGTATAATTTTATCAAGATTTGAATTTAAAATTTTATTTGAATAGCTTTCTTTAGTCATTTTAAAATCAACTTTTAGTAAAAAGTTGTATGGAAAATTTTGGATGACCGTGTAGTTCTTATCTAGATCTTATCATTTTTGATTTGGTATTTGGTGATCAACATCTTTTGTTTCACGATTCTCTTCTATTTGCACTCTCTTGATCAACCGTGGTCAAGAAGAAATGTGCTTGAAGTGATTATGGATATGTATTTTGCGGGGTTTGACTCAAATTGTGATATAAAACTGAAGCAAGACATTCAGTGGCTATTGTATCCTGTCGTTTCTCATTTTAATCGCAAATCGGCATGTCCGAGTGATATCAAAGAGAATGATTATGAGAAAATTCGCAATAATTTTGTGAGTATTGAAATTGAAACTCAGAAAAGCTTATTTTTCAGTGATCGTCAAGGAAAAAGCAAAAATGTTTCTATTAACCCGAAAAGGCGGATTTTGGACGTGCGAGGAAAGGTGAAATTTATTGAAAACTTGAAGGAAACTTGAAAATTAATTCACTTTTATAACTTGATTAGCCGAAAGATCTGGGTAACAGCTGGTTTTTCGGCTGGTGCTCTCGGGTCGGCGTGGCGCAGTCGGGCGCGCGATTGGCCCGCACGATCCGGGTTTGACCCTCTTAGTGCCACTCAATTTTGATTTTTTAGTTTTTTATCCTAAATGACACAACTACAATATATTCTAAGGTTTTCTAAAGAAGTTTTAGCTTTATTGTTCAAAACATGGTCAAGAAAATGCCCGTACAGACAGACACGGCTCTTTTATATACAAGGTGTTCCAAAAAAAAGTCTCTGCAGCGCGATTTTTCTCAGAATTTCTGGTGGCTGTTGTGGTGTCAAAGTGAATATTTTGGGAGGGTAAATTTTTGATATTTTGTCGCTTTTTCCCTATTTCATGACTCCTACACCTGAAATTTCTGAGCCACCATGACCACCACCACCAGATGGGCCGTCACCATCAGATTCTTGCCATAAAATTGAAACTTTCTCTACTGATATCGTGGTGTATAATCAACACTATTAGGATAACTACAAATTTAAACCATACACTTTATTGATTAGCGTTTTCTTTAAAAAAGGCAAGTTGAAAATCTCTTATGTACGACAGATTATCATATAATGTAGATGAATTAAGTGTTCGGCTAACAATCTTAGTTTATATCTAACTCTAATCTGACACCACGATGTCAGTAGAAAGTTTAAATTTTATATTTAAAAATATTTAACATGAACATGAATACACGAAAATTTTTCACGACCACCAGATGGTCCGGCACCATCAGATTCTTGCCATAAAATTAAAACTTTCTGTTCTAATATGGGCATTTTCGTGAGACAGATTCCCACAAAATAGAAGTCAAAATAGACTAAAAACCGACGTTCCGCAGCGCTTCAAATTTCGCTCTCATTTTCTCCCGTTCCCGTGAACGGATTTGGCTAAAATTTTGATAGCAGATAGATATAGCCTACTTCTGCTGGCCTTCAAAATTCCAGCTAAATCGGTTCACGGGAGTGCGAGAAAATGAAAGCGGAATTTAGAGCGTCACGAAACTTTGTACTGACATCGTGGTGGATAATAGACACTATTAGGATAACTACAAATTTAAATCATACACTTTATTGATCAGCGTTTTATCGAACGGTTTTTGCTGAAAAACCACGGCCTCTTTTCACTGAGGAATTTGTACTTATCCTAATAGTGTTTATTATACACCACGATCTCAGTAGAAAGTTTTAATTTTATGGCAAAAGTCCCATGGTGCTGGCCCACATGTTGGTAGTTTGAATAGCTTTCTTTAGTCATTTTAAAATCAACTTTTAGTAAAAAGTTGTATGGGAAATTTTGGATGACCGTGTAGTTCTTATCTAGATCTTATCATTTTTGATTTAGTATTTGATGATCAATATCAGGGCTGGGCACCACCCCATGGTCGACAATTGCCAAGAATCTGATGGTGGCGGCTCATATGGTGGTGGTGACCATGGTGGCTCAGAAATTTGATGTGTAGGAAATGATGAAATAGGAAAAAGCGAGCAAATTACAAAAATTTACCCAAAATATTCACTTTGACACCACAACAACCACTAGGAGCCACTAGAAATTCTGAGAAAAATCGGGCTGAACTGACTTTTTTTGGAACACCCTGTATGGTAAATGCTTTGAAATGAAAATCGTTTGTTTTATCAAAAAAAATTAATTTATTTTTCTTCTAGGTGCTTTACACAGGTGCCCATCAGAATGACTATTTCCATCAACTTTCCTCTCAATGGGATTCGGCTTTGCCGAAAACGATAAAGAAGAAACGAACCACATGTTGGCCAGAGACAAGAAATTGTAAACAATTAAATTGTTGAAGCTTTTATATTTTCATCGGACTAAATTTTCTTTTTAGGATGGAGGATCGATTTGCTGAAACCTTCACGCAATATCAATCTCAAAGAAAGAAGATTTTGATACCGTCTACTGGCAAATACAATGAAATCGTTGTGAAAATCAAAGAATTCAGCGAGGGAAACGATAAGAAGAAAAAATCACGCGATGATGTCAACTTGCTAAATCGTTTCTCTCTTCGATACGAACAGGACCAGGTGAATCTCTACGGTCACGGAAGCGGGCAAAACAATCAACCAAAGCGACTGGTCAAGAAGGAGGAGCTCTTCAATCTACTGATGGATACTCACAAACGACTAGGACACGCTGGACGCGATATTATGTGGAAGGAACTTCGCGATTATCATGGAATTTCAAAGGAGATTATTGAAATATTTGTCAAGCTTTGTGATGAATGCGAGCTGAAGAAGGGTATACCCAAGAAAGAAATTGTTATAAAACCAATTGTGACAAAAGAACAAAATGAACGATGTCAAATCGATTTGGTTGACCTTCAATCGGTGCCCGACGGTGACTACAAGTTCTTGATGATTTACCAGGATCACATCACAAAATTTGTGATCCTTCGTGCATTAAAATCTAAAACAGCGTTTGAGGTGGTGAATCACTTGATGGAGATATTTGGAACTTTTGGAGCTCCAACGATTCTGCAGTCGATTCTGCAATGGGCACGAATTTGCCAACAAAATGGTAAGATTTTTTAAATTATTTTATTACATTTATCTATTGCAGTTTCTTCAAGAACTTTTGTCTTTAGGTTAAAGGATTAGTAGATCGTTGGTCAGGGTGTCAAATTGTGAACGGGCGACCACGACACTCGCAATCACAAGGATCCGTTGAAAGAGCAAATCAGGATGTTGAGGTTAGTTAATTGTGCGGAATGAACATTTTTTAGCTTAAAACAATATTGTAATCCTCTGTAATAGCCGATGTCACCATGGCAATTCCTACTTGAACAAGGGATAATTTTGTAAACCTTTGTTAACCTTTTGGCTTATTAATTTTGTTATTGCTATTGTGTTATGTTTGTCGTTATTGTTTAACTCTAGAAAATTTGTTAATATGTTTTTGTTTACATTCAATAAACGTGGTTAAAACGTCAGGAGTTACCTTGACAACAACAGCACTAAACAATTAAATATCAACATAATAATTTGCATTTGACGACAAATTTCTAGAAAAGGCTACTTTCATTCATAATCGGCTAGCCGATTATGATTTTCGCTAGCGAAATCATTTGATTCATAATTGGCTACGGCATATATATATATAAGCACACACTCTTTCATTTTCGACGAAGTGATAGCATAGGTGATCTGTCGACAAGAGAACACAACAGTTTAGTTTGGAGAATTTTCAAAGTCTAGTTAACACAAAATTTACATATTTTTACGATGTAAATGAGCGATTTCTTTCCTTTAGTTGTGCTATTAGTCGACAAAAATCAACCAGAAATCCATTATCTATTGGGTTGGTGAATTGAAAACAGCCGGCTATTGCCATATGTGATGTGAAAAAAAATGTTGATTTTGAAGCGAGTTATTAAAAGTTGCCGAAATGTCCCTTTGCTGAAATTGAACCATCCCTAAAAATGCTTCTGGAAAAATTTGCATTTAAACATTTCATTCGTAAACGACTACGACATATATATGGGCTTTTTCTTCCCTACATTTAGGGCTTAAGGGTTGAGTGCTGGGGATTGGCTGGCAGAGCTGGAAAAGTGTCAAGAGCTGAGCAACAGTTGTTGGTTCGGGTGAGAGGTTGGTGGTGGCATTGAAATTGACATTGTTAAACTTCTTTATACAATAGTAGGAGGCGCTTGATTAGAGTCTCAAGTACCAATTTGATTGCGAAGTATAACTTCAATAGGGTTCCCTGGTTGGCAGGAAATTTACCGGAAAAGACAGCTCAGGCAAAGCCAAGACCAGCCAGAAGCCTGGTCTGACCCATCTCAATCAATCGTACTGGTTAGTTGGCTAAGAGGCTAAGAGGCTAAAGAGGCTAGCCAACCAAATCGGGCATATTGATTTTATTAGGTATAAGTCTTTGGACACTTTTTTATAAATCTGTTTATAATTGAAAAGATCATCAATTGCCCTACGGTTTGATTTAAATAGAAGATATTTATTCCACACTTTTCTTTCTTTCTATGCCAATCCAGTTTACGTTCTCCCCACGTTGAAAGACGGCATCCCGTTCGATCTGCCAAGTTAAGCAACGTTGGGCTCGGCTAGCCGCAGCTTCGGAGTTATCCCAAGCGCAGGGCAATGTAACGCACCGTGCCCGTTAAAATTAAACTACGGTACGGCTTTCCCATAGAACTGCAACCATTAAAAAAGGTTATTTCCTTTCATTGACCAGCATTGTCACTTCACGAAATAATGTTCATTGACTTTCAATAGTTATGCTTAAGTTAAGAATTTGAAGTCCTGTTATGGCCTTAGGTAGTTGAGGTTAAGGTTTCAATGAGATTTGTTTCTGTATTGTGATTGATTACTTGGATTGGCTGAGTAAGCCAGTATATACTTTAAAAATGGGGCAGTTTTCAAGCAAATCCGAGCACAAAAGCTCGTTTTGAGTAAAATTGGTGATATAAAGGTGATAAAAGGTGATATAAAAGAATTGGCTAAAAAGATTATTCTGAAAATTTGGCCATAAACCTAACTTTTTGTGCTCTTCCTTTTTTTTCTATTGATACTCAAATCGCCTTCTCTGGATTAGAGCGTTTAAATTGCGTAAATCCTTTTTGAATGGGTGAGTTCGCACCTTCGAAAAAAAAAAGCAGAAACAACACATTTCTAGAGATTTCAACGATCTTTTATAGAAAAATATTAGGCCTTTCTAATGGAGTAAACCGTAGGCGAATAGGCAAAGTAGTTATTTCTAAATAGCTTTTTAAATGAAGTGTCCAAAGAGTCATCGCCCAGCCTAATAGTTTCCTTTATGAAGAAGCTTATTGCTAACTAGGCACAAGTGCAAAAAAGGGCTTTGTTTTGAGGATATAAATTGTTGATTTATTGACTCTTTCCCTTTCCAGATGATCTCCAACTCTGTGATCGCTCTTTTGGACACGATTCTCACTTACCTCAATCAATTTGTTTACAATTTGCTTTTCGGCTTTAATCTACAGATTCTTTGCGGTCAATTTTTCCTTATGAATCAGTATTTTCTTTTCTACTTGGTGATTAGGTGAGGTGGGTAAAAATGGCTACAAAGGTTCCTTTTGGCTTGTCAAAAAGATTAAAAGGGTGGAGTAGGCTGTCAGAATCAGTTAGTAAATAAAAAATATGACACAATAATGTTTTAGCTAGAATTTTCACTTTTACAGTGGTCAAAAAAGTATTGGCCCTTCTCGAAAATTCCATTGATTAAGAATTTTCCTTCTTTTCATAGATTTTAGTCGGATTTAAATTTCTAGATACCACAAGAACTAAACTCTTTAAAAGTAGAAAACTTTTAAATTGAACGTTTTCTTCAATTCAATGAATGCGAAGATTGTAAGAAAAAATATTGTGCTTCCACAATTAAACAGTTTATTTGTTCGCGGGTTTCTGGCAGATATATCGAGCCATCCCTCGTTGTGCTATTGTTTCTGGTATATGGTAGATAATGGATGTCTGGTTGATGTCTGTCGACTCATAGCACATCTAAGGAAATGATATATTAAAGATCTAAATTATATAACCCTGCCATGGAAATTATCTCCCCTAAAGTTCATTTTAAGAAAAATGATTTATGATCCTCTAGATTCCGATCCTCAAAGTGTAACCTTGCGGTCAATACGGTAAAATCAATGAGACCGTGCGTGTCGATAATTTTTCCAAATAAACAAAACAGATCTATTTGCGGGGCTGTTCCTAGAGCCGATTCTCCAGAGCAAACCAAGCAAAAGTCAGATATCAGGCGAAAATCAGTGATAGACTTAAAATTCGAGACCAAAGCTTCTTAGAACAGCGCTGCAAAAACCTTTGTAAGGAAGAAACGAACCGAATAATAGTGATTTCCGACTGTATTTGGTACTTTCGTCCCAACGAAATCATCCGGAGTTCGATCACTGTACGTCCTCTTCCCATCCACACGCCGCAATCCGAACCAAACGTAGAAATCGGTGCCGTAGCATCCATCTGCTGGAGTCGCTTTTGGGTTATTTTTTCGGAAACTCGAGCTGATCATTTCTGAAATCATTTTCGATTGAAGTCCAAATCAGATGGTATAACAAGCACCCAATAAACAAATCCTACGGGCTCTTCGAATCTTATTCTCTTCAGTTAAGCCGGTCTCCCCTCTCCTCCAAACACCAACCTTTGTCCCCTTGCTTCCCATACACCCTGTACATCATTTCTCTTTCTTAGCTCTCTTGAAAAATTTCTATTCTATTCACTTTCGAGGTCTGCGTACATTCTCATTCTCAAAAGTTGATGGAAAGTTTATACCTTTCTCTTCATAGTTTTATACACTTTCCCCCAAAAAAACAACAGTCAAAATCGACTCTACTTCTGATGTCAAAATGGCTTTTTTCAATTTCTTGAATTCAATTTGGCTGGATGCCATAGTAAATCTTCGAATTCTTCCCTTCCTGTCTGTCTCCCCTCATAGTGCCATAGTAAATCTTTACTTTTCATAAATTCCCGCTCAACAATTGAATGGATGGACGCCAAGTGGGCACCGCTTCTTCTACAGTCCTCCTCGGCTGTTTCCCACTTATACTTGTTCAACTCTCCCTCGTCATTGTAAGTGAATTCCTCAAAAAATAGAATATTATGACTGTAATTTTTGTTGCTTACATGATAGAAGTAGCAGGAGTCAGTTTCCTTGAAATACGTCCACCCAAGACGGCATTTCCCTTCGAATGATTGAGGGACTGGACAAGCGAAGGACTCTTTGTTGGAGTTTCTGGAAATTTTACTTCATAAACATCGAAAAAAATTATATTAATCTTATTTAATTAAAAAAATTTTGAGGACAAGATTAATTCCTCACTTTTCCGACTCCAGGAGCACAACTTTTTTCTTCGTTTCGACAAGTTGAGCTTCTGTTGTGCCTCTAAAGTTTTACAAATCAATAAAAATATTACATTTGCATAAGAAATAACTAAACTATGACCAAACTCTCCTCTCCCTGAAAAGTTGATTTTTTTTGATTTCATTGCTTAAAATCTTCACCCACTCATTAGCCCGGCAAATCTTCAACAGGTCAACTGCTTGTTTTTCTTCATCTTGCGAAGCAGGCCTGAATTTTCGATTTCTTTAAGAAACTCTAACAAAAACTTACAAATTCCGGGCCTTTCGTGACAATGAACTGTGGAATGGTGTTGAGTTGGAGCTGAAATTTTGGCTTTTGAATTTGATTTGATCAAATCTCCAATGTTCTTGAACTTTTTAATAAGACTTTAATAAGACTAGTTCTCTGATTCAAATTAAAAATACAAATCGAAACCTTCCCAAAAATTACTCACCTCTTTTCAACAAGTAAGGTACCAATAATTCCGAGAAAAATTCCAATGAATATACCAAACAAAAGACTTTTGGTGTTGTACGGTTTTGGAGTCAGGGTTTTTGATCTGGAATTTATGAAAAAGTGATAAAGTTAAACTATTTGAACTTACGGTAACTGGGGCAGCAATTCGAATTGTTCAAAACCCATTTTCAAGATCGAAATGGCAAATTCATGGGAAATCGTGGGTTTAAGATCGAGAAAAATATGACAAAACAAATTGGTTGAATTTGTTTCGCCAGAAAATGTTTTTAGTTGAGAGAAATTGTTGCCGAAAAGTAAATAAAAAAATCTCTAAGAGTATCTCTGCTAATTGGTTGATTGTTTTTGACTTTTCGATCATCGAAGATAAGATTTCGCCATAAAATTTCCTTACCAAGAAATTCTCAAAGAGGAAGGTTTACATTTGTTTTGGCTGGCTCTTACTAAAATATTGCTTAAAAATTTAAAACCAATCAGGGTAAAATGACAAGATTGAAGCTTTCTGAGGTGATAGTAACACATTGATGATTGCCAAAGACGAAGAAACTGATCGAACATTTATTTTTATCTAAACCTTTTTCGCATGTTCGGATTCGAGATATTCGATTGCATATGTCAACAACAACTCATTTCGACCGGATGAGATCAACTGGGGAGACAGGTACAGTACTGGACAATGAAATATCATATTTGAAAAACGATTTGGAGACGTTTGGAGAATATCGAAAAAGCTCCAACTCTCTAACATTTTCCTTTCCAAATTCTTTATCAAGATTTGAATTCTAAGGCATTTTCACGTTTTATGAATCGAAGCGGATCAAAAGTTGAGGTAATGAACGGCTATGGATGGCAGAAAGTAGATCCAAGTATTCGAGACGATTACTAAAAAGATGCAGCTCACCAATTAGCAAATCCAAATTCAAAATTTGCAAATTCAAACAATTTTGACGCACCCTGTACTTGAGCTTGAAAAATGTTAGCTTCTTGAGCTTTAGTTACACTTTTTGCATAATACCTTCAGTTTGAGATCTAGAATTAATTCTGTTTATTACATATGTAAGAATTTATGGGCGCTCAAAGCTAATGCACTGAACATTTCCCGCACATTTCCCAACCAAAATTCCATTGACGTTTGGAGAATTTCAAAAACAGCTCCAACTCTCTAACTTTACGGTAAACGGGGGAATTCTCTCTCAAGAAATAAACGCGATGATCGTGTTTTTCTTTCGCGTTAAAAAGAAGTCCATTTTTATCATTTTTTAAGCCATCTGAATTTGTGCAAAGAGATTCACTTGATAATTTTAAAAAAGAAACTTGTAATTGAGTAAAAGAACAAAAACGAATCGGGATTTCGTTTCGAAAATTTCCTCAAGAGTAAATGATTCAGAAACCCCGAACGATTATCCATTGCTAAATGGCTCTCCTCGTAAATCTTAACAACGCTTTTGGTTGAAATTTTCCACGATCTCTAGCGACCAATGGACTAAATGAAGTAAAGAACATTGGAAGAAATTCGAGAAATCGAAAGTTATCAAACCCAAATCTAGTGAATTGGATGTATTCAAGATTGATGCATCTTTGGCAGGGAGACTTCAAGAAAAGCTTCAGAGTAACTTCACTTTAATTGTCATTATGATTCTTGATTAACTATGCTATATTTGACACTTAAAAAGAAGGAAAATTAGAGTAAAAGACGCATATGTAGGTGATGATCCGGTGTATGGCGTGAAGTGAGTCGAATTTTGTGCTCGTTTCTTAATCGATTTGTCCATTTGTTCGAGATTCACATTGCACATATCCTCATCACAAAAGCGAAACACCGATCCATAAAGGTATTTTCCAACCTAAAAGTGAAACACTAGAAGAAAATTTGCGTTTTCTAAAAGGTGAGCAATTTGCCAAACTACTTTGTTTTGAGATTTTGTCCGTTTTACTTAATTGTTTCCATTCGATTTCCAGTTTAATTCCTTATCGAATACGATCAAAATTAAATAGAAAAAAATCCGCAGAAAGGAGTACGGTAGTTTTCAAATGATCCACTTTTTAGAAGATCCATTTTCCTCTCACCTCCAATCTTCCACTCGCTCGCGAGTCATCCTGCACAAAACAGCCTTGGGTTTCTGGCTCATAGCTCTAAATTTTAAGACGATATTCACGATGATACGACCCACCGATGGGCAGCACTAATCACGATTCTTTTTTAGTGTCAACTCAAGTTTTTAAGGACTTTTCTTCTTTATTTCGCAGAAAGTTCTTGGTAAGTTTGTACTAGTTTTCAAGAAGAGATTCAGCGCTTTCGAATGGCTGGAATAGCTTAGTTTATCGTTGAATTTGCACCAAATAATCATTAAAACAGTTAGCGACTACGCGGCTGTACGTTCAAAATACTGGAGTCGAAAATGTGTTAAGATAACTGTATTGGTTAGTGATAGTGATGAATTTTACAGTATCTTTTCAAAGCTAAAGTCACTACCGTACTAGATACTGTAATTAGGCTTAAGCCAAAGATTTTACCGCATTCAAAGTTATAAACTAACGTGTGAACCGCGGCGTTCGCCCGGCACCACCCAATAGCACATGTGTCCCATGCAAGTGTTCCCTGAAAACGGGAAACTCAATTTTCCTTTCCAAAAACCATTTACCATCCATCATTTGGCATTTCACCAGCGATGGAGCCATATTGGTAATGTTGATTGTGTTGCAGAAATCCTAGAAACCGAATTTGAATCTAAATTTTTCGCTCATTTACCCAATCACAGAAAATGCGATACACTTTGAGGGTTTTCCCGGGTTGCACTGCGTAAACCAAACCATTATAGGTACTAAAATGTCAAATTTGATGTAATTTCTATGATTTTACAATTAATATGGCAAATAGTCACTAAAATTTGGGGGAAATTGTATCCAAATGATGTCTCCATTTTTATATCGAGCCCTCAATACAGTAGTGTTCAATTCAACAACTTTGCCTAGATTTTTTCCCCATTTTAAGCTGTTAAATTGGTTGTTTCTCGTCTTCTTTTCAATTGTTGCAAGTAAAGCTCCACATAATTGTGTTAAAGTTTGTTCTCCTTTTGTCTCTTGCTCATGTAATAAGTGTAAAAGTGTAAAAGTTTCCTAATTGGCACAAGTTCTGACTTGTCGGCAAATTGGGATAAAGGCGCAGTCAAAATACAATTGAGAGAGCAAGAATAACTCCAAAGAAAGAAACAGCTGGCTAGAGTTAAGAGTAAGAGTAGTTAAGCCTAGCAGAGAAATAATTTCCTAGATTTCTTAACACATTCACGATGATGGGTCGTACTAACGACGATCATTTTTGGTGTCAACTTTTTAAGGATTTTGTTATTTATTTCGCAGAAAGTTCCTATGAACTTTATACTAGCTCTCAAGAGGAGATTCAGGGCTTTCGAATGACTAGAATAGCTTCGTTTATCGTTGAATTTGCACCAAATAATCATTAAAACAGTTAGCGACTACGCGAATGTACGTTCAAAACACCATGGTCGAAAATGTGTTAAAATAACTGATGCTTAAACTGTACTGGATATTGGATGAGATCGAAATTTTACAGTATCTTGAAAGCTAAATTCCCTAGTGTACTAGACACTGTAATTAGACTGTAATTCTCGTCTACTTTTCAATTGTTGCAAGTAAAGCTCCAAATAATTGTGTTAAAGTTTGTTCTCCCTTTGTCTCTTGCTCGTGTAAGTGTAAAAGTTTCCTTATTGGCACAAGTTCTGACTTGTCGGCAAGTTGGGATAAAGGTGCAGTCAAAATACAGTTGAGAGAGCAAGAATAACTCTAAAGAAAGAAATAGCTGGCTAGAGTTAAGAGTACGAAGAGTACTAAGAGTACCAAGAGTACTAAGAGTACTAAGAGTACTAAGAATACTAAGCCCTTCTTACAACTAACGGCAATTCATGAGGCCTCCCATAGCCATTCCCGTCATTGTAGAACCACAAGATTTGTGTGTGCAACTCCCAAATCTGAAAAAGAGCATCGGTTTGCTTTCTCCACGCACCATCGATGAATAAACGAGCTCGCTGAAAGTCGTTCGTCTCAACGTAGTCGTTTTGCTGAAATTAATACAATAAAGGCTACCCACGATAAAAATGGTAACGATTTCCGTTAATCGTTGCACTGAAAATCTCAATTCTTCAAATAAAAATTGGGATCTTGGGTAAGTTTCTGCTCAACGCAATGTTTTTGCAGTGATAAGATACAACTATCAATAAAAGTAGGTCGGAAAGTTAAACAGTGCATAGCCAAACCCAAGCATTTGTCAGTTCGTTTAGCCACTAACAATAAATATTTAAGAACGTGTCATTTCGAAGCAAATCACCAACCATGATTTCGGCTTTTTAAACATGACTTACTAGACTCGACTAGACTAGACTACAGTCCTACAGAAAGGCTTATTGCTTCAAGCTCTTCAATTTAAAGAAAAGTCACCCGGTTTTGGGTACTTTCTTGTCTGTTACTTGTTCTGTTGCTGACGATGAGACTGGTGTTGTTAGCTGCTTTTGCTAGCTCCAAGACATTTTCGTTTTTGATAAAAGCTACCAGCAACCAATACTCCGAGTGACACATTGGAGCCATGAAAGTGGTGAAATTTGCGGCGGTCAGTAGAGGTAAATCCCCGTTTTGGTCGAGTGTGACATTGTTCTGAAATGGCACAATACGTAATTAAGCTTTTTACTTCAAAACCGACTAAAAATGAATGACATTGAACTCGGTATGGCTCTCGAATTGTCACTGGATATGTCTCATTTGACCAAGTTGCTTTCTTAATTTGAATATCGAGTACGGGAAGCTTTTTGTTGCAATCATCGACTCTGAAGAATTGGTTATGGACTTTTTGATGGAATTGGTTCATCCTGAATCGTAGCAAAGTGGTAAATCAGCAAATCAGCTTACAATTAGAATAAGAAACTTTGAAAAACTAAAGTCCAAACTGACAGCTTTTTTGAGTTTAGTGAAAATTGCTCAAGATTGTTAGCGACTTTGAAACACTCAGAATTTAAAAGCTTTAACTTTCAATCAATCTTAGCTTTAGTAAAGGCAGTAAAATGAAATTGAGACCGCTTAATTTATTTTAGACTCACGAGCACAAACAAGCATAAGTTGAAGAGGGATTTGGCTCAGTCAGTGATGGCATGAAACTGATTGGATCAACATAGCAACCATCCGAGATGTTCCAGTACTAAAGTTTTCACTGAATAGCTAAATAGCTTGTTAGCTGAGCGCATTTAACACAAATTCGACTCTACTTTCATCCCATGAATGCATCCATAAGCTGTCCGATTGGCGCCTGTATCTCGAAAAACGTAGCACATCTCTCCCGTGCAATTCAGAGCGGTTTGGCTAAATTGTAATAGGTTAGTTGTAATAGGTTAGTTGCAAATTGAATAGCTTAACAAGAATTGATATAAAAATTGATCTTCTTTCATTTTTCTTCAAATCTTAAAGTTTCTGGCCAACTTGTAGATGATGGTGGTCTTCCCGAAATCTCTCGGTCGCCAATCGAGTCTCAAATCACATCGAATCGACTCGTTTACTTGGAAAAAACAATAGACAAGAAATAGTTTTTGTAAAGATTTCATCAAGAAATCAATTGAAAAGCAAATTTTCTATTGAAATTTCTCAAATTTTGTCACTGTATGGGCTAAATTAGGGGTTTCGGTGGAAATTGGAAAGTCAAGTGCTTCAAAAATAATATGACATCACTCAGAAAAGGAGATTGGGTTTCATTGGAGATCTAGAATTGAATTATGTTTATTATATAAGTAAGCATTTATTGTCTTTCAAAGCTAACGCTCTGAACATTTCCCGCACATTTCTCAAGCAAAGTTCCACAGCTTTAACTCTCAGTCAGCGGTGGCATGAACGAAATATTGAAAAGATTGAAATTTCTCAAATTTAATCACTGTATGGGCTAAATTCGGTGGAAGTTGGAAAGTCAAGTTCTTCAAAAATAATATTACATCACTCAGAAAAGGAGATTGGGTTTCATTGGAGATCTAGAATTGAATTATGTTTATTATATAAGTAAGAATTTATGTCTATTGGAAAAAACAATAGACAAGAAATAGTTTTTTCAAAGATTTCATCAAGAAATCAATTGAAAAGCAAATTTTCTATTGAAATTTCTCAAATTTTGTCACTGTATGGGCTAAATTAGGGGTTTCGGTGGAAGGTGGCAAGTCAAGTGCTTCAAAAATAATATTACATCACTCAGAAAAGGAGATTAGTCGAAATTTTTGGAAAAATTAAAAATTGCCAGTCAAAAGTTGGTATTGTAGTTGATTGAAAGAGCTGAAAAAGCACGATTAAGAGCTACAGAACAAAAGGCCAAAGCCTAGGCCCAGTCTCTGTTCTTTGGATTAAGGCAGATCCAAACCCTGACTTGAGTCTGGCCTTCAAGATAAGTCATAGTCAGACCAGAGTCTAATCCAGCCTGCCCAACACCTTCGGTTCTTTTATTTTTCAAGTTTTGTATCTATAATTAGGGAAAAACCCTGTAATTGCTTCTTTGAAAGCAGCTGAAACTCAAAAATTGAACTCAATTCTCGTTGTTTTCAATCAGAAAGGGGGAAAAGACAATTTTTACTCTTTTTCTCAGCTTTTTTCCCACAAAACCGACCCGATCCAATTAGCGGATAATAATTGAAACTTTAGAAAACACTTTTGCAACTAAATTTTCGATTTTAAAAAGATTTATCAATAATTTTTCTTATGAATACTTGTTGAATCAATTTTTTCAAACTTTGACTACCAAAATCTTTCGAATTTTAGCTAACGCTAGCTTCAAAATGTCCTTAACTGTGCAACAAATCGACGAATTGAAAGCCGCTTTTGCTTCTTTTGATAAAGACGGAAGTGGAACGATTGATGGAAATGATTTGGGTCATTTGATGAAAACATTAGGAGAGAACTTTAAAGGAATCGAGCTACAGGTAATGGGAAACAAGGCCAGCACTCGCTGGAAATTAAAACAATAAAAAGCATCATTAAAATCATAAAACGCCTTTAAACTCTTTGAATTTCGTAGATTAAATTCCAAGTACTCTTTGAGTTTAAAATTTTGGAAAGATTCGGTTTTAAAAGTTGTTTCCTTATTCCGATTGATACTTTGGCTGGAGATTTGGCCTATTTTTGGCGAGAAATGGCTTTTCTTGAGTCAAATAAAGTCAAATCAAGTCCAGAATCGGGTATTGAAACATTACAAGAAGTTTGGAAGTTTTCTTTTGGAATTTTGGAGTGTTTAGAAGTGTTTAGAAGTGTTTAGAAGTTTTGGAAACAAGCTGGCTTTGTTTCTAAAAGTTATAACCCTTGATGGGGAAGATTTAACCGTTTAAACCCTTGATGGGGAAGATTATAAACTAAATTTTCAATAAGGTTACAGGCTTGCACGAATCAACGCGTCGACTTTTCCACTCTTCAGCAAATGATCTCAAAGAAGAATGACGATTCGAAAAGAGAATCCCATCTCCGAAAGGCTTTTCAGGTAAACATTTATATTGGGTTGGTGAATTGAAGACTGCCGGACTTTGAACTAAAATCTTTTTTTCCAAGAGAACATTAACATTAAAATTAGTCTCATTTGTCACCATTAGAAAGGGAAATTTGTGTTCTACATTCGACTTCTCAGCGCTTTTGAAAAGCTTCAGTTTTGGGGATTTTTCCGGGGTGTAAAGACAAGTAGTCAGAATTTAAAAGAATTTGTTAAAAATCGAAACTCGACAACAACTATTAGGTTGGTGAATTGAACTTTGAACTAAAATGAATTCAACATAAAACCATGAATTGATTCGAAATAATTTCCATTATTATTGACGACTTCTGCCCATTTTACAGGCAATTTGATTCCTCTTTCGTAGTAGGATTTTGGTTTGTGTGTGAGACAAGTGTGAGACTCAAAAATCGAGGACTGGAGATGTCTCAGTTCGAGCACTTTCTTCAAAAGAAACCCATTTTGGTGTCAATAGAAAAGTTGTAGAGAATCAAAAATTAGGCTTATAGCCAAATTTCCAAAAAGATACACTTAGTAGTTTCGCTTAAAATGCAAGTTTTGTGAAAATTCGTAAATTTGGCATTTCTTGAAAACTAATTTTTGAATCGTTCTGAAAGTTTGGATATAAGCTTGATTTTTGATTCTCTACGACTTTTCCATTGACACCAAAATGGGTTTCTTTTGAAGAAAGTGCTCAAACTGTCACATATGACAATAGCTGTCAATTCACCAACCCAATATTTTATCGTTAAACTGATCAACAATTTCTGTATTTTAAGTCATTTTTCAGATGTTCGACAAGGATCAAAACGGTTTCATTTGTCGCGATGAGTTACGACAAGCGATGTTTGCTGAAGGGGAAACGATAAATGAAGCAGAATTGGACAAAATGATGGCCGAAGCTGATGTGAACGGAGATGGATTGGTGAATTATGATGAGTTTATCGGTTTCTTGTTCAAATAAAGTATCGATTTGAAGACAAATTACAACGTTCTTATCTTTGTAGTCCGTTTTAGGACTTCATAAATTAACACGCATAACACAGCAATGTACTATAGTACAAAGCACAGCTACAATCGTACTGTAGTCAGCACACAGTACTGCAGTATGTTTAATGTTACAGTAGCACTGTAGTACTTACATAAGAATAGAATACTGTATGACTAGAGTCCATAGTCCTATGGTATAACGTAGTATAGTATCAAAAAAGCTTGGTAGGACGTAGTATAGTATCCAAAAAGCTCAGTATCGTAATACTAAAGTTACCATGAAGTTACAAAGGTTTTTAGCTATTTAATGTCTTAATTGCAATCAGACTTTTTACTAAATCTATCTCGTAAATGCAGATTTACAAACGAAATACATAGAAAGGTTATGGACTCATGGAATTACTCGTGGAATTTGTCATATCTCCATCACAAATCGGTACCCAAACCGTTGGCTATGTCTTCTGGGCACTTTCGGGGCGCTCTGGGCAATGGGCGCTTTCCAATGTTTACTCAAAATCATTGTGCCGATTATGGAGCAAATTGTGGCCACAATTCCGAGGAATCCAACCGGAGGCAACAGCCATCCTTTGCGTGAATTCGGATCTCTGCTCAACATTTTGCAGCCTCTCATACAGCAAAAAACAATTGAAAAGAAAAAAAGCTTTATTTTTGTAGCACAGATTACAGAAACTTTTTTCTTTTTAAGGCAAATGTAGAGTCTCTATATCTTTTTTTTGATTTTGGTATCTTGAAAAATTTTAAAAATAGTAAAAAACGCGCATCCATAACTGGACAACCCAATATTTGTTTTAAACGTTTAGATAACTATTTAATAACAGTAGTTATTAAAAGTTTTAGGTTTAATTTGCTAAAAACTTTGCACAAATTTCAGATGGCTTAAAAAAATGATAAAAATGGACTTCTTTTTTAACGCGAAAGAAAAACACGATGATCGCGTTTATTTCTTGAGAGAGAATTCCCCGGTTACCTCAACTTTTGATCCGCTTCGATTCATAAAACGTGAAAATTCCTTAGAATTGAAATGTTGATAAAGAATTTGGAAAGGAAAATGCTATAGAGTCGGAGCTGTTTTTGAAATTCTCCAAACGTCAATGGAACTTTGGTTGGGATATGTGCGGGAAATGTTCAGGGCATTAGCTATGAACGTCTATCAATTCAATTCTAGATCTCTAGAATCTCTACATTCTAGAATGTGATGTTTAATTTTTTTACTAAAGAGTTTCTCACTTTGCCTAAGCGCCCCTCTTTCACAAAACTCCATGAGAATCCTGAGAGAATTGTTCCCGTTCTTTGATAAACTCAGTTTTCAGCAAACCGAGCAAATTCCCCGGTTACCTTAAGTAGAGAGTTGGAGCTGTTTTTGAAATTCTCCAAACTTCAATGGAACTTTGGTTGAGAAATGTGCGGGAAATGTTAAGGGCATTAGCCTTGAACGTCCATAAATGCCCTGGTCTCACAACAACTAGAATATGACTGAACAAAGATTAAAAAGATTCGGAAAGTATGTAGACTCAATATCTTTTATCCGAATACTGTAATGAGACAAGAGACCGGCCCTACGGTACTTTTAGAGATACACTACTGGACAATGAAATATCATATTTGAATAACGATCGTCACTTTCGCGGGTCTGTAACTCCCTTGGCTTTGCCGTATTTCTAAATATTAATATTACCATTGTGTAACCCTTGAACAGAGCTTTCAGAAAATGTATGACACTAATAGTTTAAACCCAAAGACAAGGGAGTTACAGACGCGCGAAAGTGACGATCTTTTTTCAAATATGAAATTTCATTGTCCAGTACTGTACCTGTCTCCCCATTTGATCTCATCCGGTCGAAATGAGTTCTTGTTGACATCTGCAGTCGAATATCTCGAATCCGAATCGTGAAATGCGGAAAAGGTTTAGATAAAAATAAATGTTCGATCAGTTTCTTCATCTTTGGCAATCATCAATATGTTACTATCAAAAAGCTTCAATCTTGTCATTTTACCATCATGGTTTTAGATTTTCAGGCCAGATTTTAGTAAGAGCAAGACAAAACAAATGTATACTTTTCTATTTGAGAATTTGTTGATAAGGTAATTTTACGGCGAAATTTTATCTTCGAGGATCGAAAAGTCAAAGACAATCAATCAATTTACAGAGATACTCTCAGAGTTTTTTTGTTGTTTTCGGCAATAATTTCTCCCCACTAAAAGGATTTTCTGGCGAAACAATTTCAACCAATTTGTTTCGTCATATTTTTCTCGATCTTAAACCCTCGAATTCCCATGGATTTGCCATTTAGATCTTGAAAATGGGTCTTGAACAATTCAAATTGCTTCCCCAATCACCGTAAGTTCAAACAGTTTACTTTATCACTTTTCGTAAATTCCAGATCAAAAACCCTGACTCCAAAACCGTATAACACCAAAGGTCTTTTGTTTGGTATATTCATTGGAATTTTTCTCGGAATTATTGGTACCATACTTGTTGAAAAGAGGTGAGTAATTTTGAGGAAGGTTTCGATTAGAATTTTTAATTTGAACCAGAGAATAGTCTGATTAAACTCTTATTAAAAAGTTCAAGAAAATTGAAGATTTGATCAAATGAAATTCAAAAGCCAAAATTTCAGCTCCAACTCAACACCATTCCACAGTCCTTTGTCACGAAAGGCTCGGAATTTGTAACTTTTTCTTAGAGTTTCTTAAAGAAATCGAAAATTCAGGCCTGCTTCACCAGATGAAGAAAAACAAGCAGTTGACCTGTTGAAGATTTGCCGAGCTAATGAGTGGGTGAAGATTTTAAGCAATGAAATCAAAAAAAATCAACTTTTCAGGGAGAGGTTGACGCTTCTCATCGACAGCAAGTCGGTTTTTGAAATTTCTATTTTCCTTTATTTTTCTTTAGTTTTTTGGTTTATATATGTAAAATTTCCATAAAGTACATAGAACCATATAACTTGGTCATAGTTTAGTTATTTCTATAACTTATTATTTCTATTCAAATATAACTTTCTTATTTATTTGTAAACTTTAGAGGTACAACAGAAGCTCAACTTGTCGAAACGAAGAAAAATGTTGTCCTGGAGTCGGAAAAGTGAGGAATTAAACTTGTCCTTAAAATTTTTTTAATTAAATAAGATTAATATAATTTTTTTCGATGTTCATAAAGTAAATTTCCAGAAACTCCAACAAAGAGTCCTTCGCTTGTCCAGTCCCTCAATCATTCGAAGGGAAATGCCGTCTTGGGTGGACGTATTTAAAGGAAACTGACTCCTGCTACTTTTATTATGTAAGCAACAAAAATTACAGTCATAATATTGTATTTTTTGAGGAATTCACTTACAATGATGAGGGAGAGTTGAACACGTATAAGTGGGAAACATCCGAGGAGGACTGTACAAGAAGCGGTGCCCACTTGGCGTCCATCCATTCAAATGTTGAGCTGGAATTTATGAAAAGTAAAGATTATGGCATCCTGTCGAATTCAAGAAATTGAGAAGAAGTTATTTTGACAATTGCTTTTTTTGGGGAAAGTGCATAAAACTAACTAGAGAAAGCCATAAACTTTCGATGAACTTTTGAGAATGGACAATTGGACACAGACCTCAAAAGTGTATAGAATAGAAGTTTTTCAAGAGAGCGAAGAAAGAGGAATGATGTACAGGGTTTATGGGAAGCAAGGGGACAAAGTTTGGTTTTTGGATGGAGCGGGGAGACAGGCGATTAACTGAAGAGAACAAGATTCGAAGAGCCCGTAGGATTTGTTTGTCGGGTGCCCTGTTATACCATCTGATTTGGACTTCAATCCAAAATAATTTTAGAAATGATCAGCTCGAGTTTCCGAAAAAATAACCTAAAAGCGACTCCAGCGGATGGATGCTACGGCACCAATTTCTACGTTTGGTGCGGATTGCGGCGTGTGGATGGGAAGAGGACTTACAGTGATGGAACTCCGGATGATTTCGTTGGGACGGAAAGATCAAGTACGGTCGCCGGAAATCTCTATTATTCGGTTCGTTTCTTCCTTACAAATATTTTTGCAGGGCTGTTCTAAGAAGCCTTGGTCTCGAATTTTAAGTCTATCACTGATTTTCGCCTGAAATCTGACTTTTGCTTGGTTTGCTCTGGAGAATCGGCTCTAGGAACAGCGCCTCAAATAACATCTGTTTTGTTTATTTGGAAGAATTATCGGCACCCACGGTCTCATTCATTTTACCGTATTGACCACAAGGTTACACTTTGAGGATCCGAATCTAGAGAACCATAAATCATTTTTCTTAAAATGAACTTTAGGGAAGATAATTTCTTTTTATTTTTTTTTTATTTATATTTTTAGGGTTATATACTTTATGTCTTTAAGATGTTATTTCTTTAGATGTGCTATGAGACGACAGACATCAACTCGCCATCCATTTTCTACCTTATACCAGAACAAATGGCACAACGAGGGATGGCTCGATATATCTGCCAAAAATCCGCGAACAAATAAACTGTTTACTTGTGGAAGCGCAATATCTTTTCTTACAATCTTCGCATTCATTGAATTGAATAAAATGTTCAATTTAAAAGTTTTCTACTTATAAAGAGTTTAGTTCTTGTGGTATCGCAGACCTAGTTGCGCAAAAGAATTTGGAGCAAAGTAGCCACCGCCCTTTTTTGTTAAAATGAGACGAGATTCCGTTTTAAATTTTGAAAACAATTCACCTCATTCTAAGACTTTTTTGAATTTGTTTGACAAAATTGAAACATTGAATTTTGGGTGTAATTTGGTTTACCACGGAATCTTGTCACTAGTGAATCAAAGATTAAAATTTTGATAAAATTCCATTTTTTTTTCTTCACAAAAAGCTAGAGTGCCTTCCAGGATTAACAATTGAAATTTTAGATTTTTAAAATTTCAATCTTTCTATTTTGAACAGTTTTATTTTGCAGAACTTGAGTTTTTGACGCGGTTGAACGCCGACGATCCAACCGTCGTAACGGCCACAATGTAGACATACCAATATTTTTTTAGATCTCTGACTTTTTGTAAAAAACTTTAATTCACACCTTTAACAAGTTTTGTGCAAAGAGCGTAAAATGCAAAAAAGTTAGGTCCTGGCCATGCCCGTGTAAAGGGCACGTGATAACCACTACACCACAAGACCATGTGCTGGCTGAAATAGTAAGCGTATTTTCAAACATTTTACAGCCAAATCTTGGTACCGATTTCTACTTGTAAGAAGTAAAACAGACGGCATTTTTATTCGATAATCGATCGTGTCATAAAATTCGATACTCTTCGCTGATCGGATAGAGAGCGTCGGCCATTTGTAAATGAGCGCCACGAAAATCGATAATCCCAATTGTGTACCGTTTTGCTTTCGGATTTTCTGCGTAAAGTCTGAAAAATAGAGCTTAGGCTAGGGAAAGCATTAGCAATGTGAAACTTTAGACATCTAAAACCTTAACCTCAGCATTTCCATTAGCCTTTTATAGTAAAAACTCGCATAGAATATGTTAAAGCGTTTTCTAAGGCACGCCAACTTTTGAAAACTACCATAATCCTGTCTGTAGTGAATCTATCTCTAGTATAATCCTTTCTGTGACTTCTTTCAAAGATATCAAAGATCAAAGATCTATCCTTCTTATGAAAGTTCCAATTTTAAACCAGAACATTCCATCTTATCCTTAATATTTATAGCCAAAGCTACGAAATAGCCGATTGGCAGCCCGGCGCCGAATTCTCCACAGCATTTTCTAGCTCACGCTTAGCTAGACCAAGCTTACGGCACTCCGGGTTCCCAAGCCGTCTCCGATCCAAGTACTAACCGAGTCCAACGTTGATTAACTTGGCAGAACGGACGGGATGCCGTGTTTTCAACGTGGTATGGTCGTAATTTCAAATTTCTAGTTTATTTGTGCATCCCCTAGCGGAGACGCGTTCCAAAATTTTTTCGAGACACTATTGCAAGGTCTCGGGACTTTCAGTGAAACGGTGGCGCGGAACCACATGGGAAATCGTCCAATATATGGTGAAGAAAATTCTGAATAATACGGGTTCTCCTAGAGCTGAAAATTGATTCCCAGCATTATTCTGGCGCTTTCATGTCGATGGGATTGTTAGAGTTTTCAGAGTAGTTAGTTTCCTTTTGAAGAATTTCGAAACTTCTAGCTGAAATGGTGGTAAAAATTGGGTGTTTGAGGTGTACTTTAGGAGAGCGCACAAAAGCGCGCTTTCTGGCACATGGGGCAGATAGATAAGGAGAAAGTGAGTCGAGTTTCCTCAGAGTCGGTTTAATTACCGAAGCGTAAGGGTAGTATTAACCCTGAGACTCAGGTATAATGTCTCGAAATCTTGAAACGGATTTCGTTTTTGGTGAATTCCATAAATCTCGAAAATTCGATCACTTTGAATCCTTCTTGCAGCTCTAATCCAAAAGAATCCCTCTACCTAGCGCATTGATCTTATAAGTTGCATATGGTAAGCAGAAATAAAGAAACTAAAAATGGAAATTGATATCAAAAAGGTGGTCGAGATCGTCAAGAATTACAACTCTCACATTTTGCTGGCCGTTGATAACACTTTTGCGACACCGTACTTCCAAGTATTTACTCGTTTTTGGCTTAAAATTTCTCATTTCCCAGAAACCGATCGATTTCGGAGTGAATATTGTCGTGCATTCCATGTCAAAGTACATTTCCGGTCACTCGGATGTGATCATGGGAGCCGTGATCACAAATTGTGATCAGATCAATAATGATTTAAAGCGGATACAAAATGGTAGGAAATAGGAAAAAAGCCGAGGCCGAGGCTGCCGAGGCTAAACTAACTAGAGAAAGCCATAAACTTTCGATGAACTTTTGAGAATGGACAATTGGACACAGACCTCAAAAGTGTATAGAATAGAAGTTTTTCAAGAGAGCGAAGAAAGAGGAATGATGTACAGGGTTTATGGGAAGCAAGGGGACAAAGTTTGGTTTTTGGATGGAGCGGGGAGACAGGCGATTAACTGAAGAGAACAAGATTCGAAGAGCCCGTAGGATTTGTTTGTTGGGTGCTTGTTATACCATTTGATTTGGACTTCAATCGAAAATGATTTTAGAAATGATCAGCTCGAGTTTCCGAAAAAATGACCCAAAAGTGACATTAGATGGATGCTTTGGCACCAATTTATACGTTTGGTTCGGATTGCGGCGTGTGGATGGGAAGAGGACGTACAGTGATGGAACTCCGGATGATTACGTTGGGGCAAGTACGGTTGCCGGAAATCTCTATTATAAGGTTAGTTTCTTCCTTACAAATGTTTTTGCAGGGCTGTTCTAAAAAGCTTTGGTCTCGAATTTTAAGTCTATCACTGATTTTCGCCTGACATCTGACTTTTGCTTGGTTTGCTCTGGAGAATCGGCTCTAGGAACAGCCCCGCAAATAACATCTGTTTTGTTTATTTGGAAAAATTATCGACACCCACTTTCGTACGCCTCATTCATTGTACCGTATTGACCGCAAGGTTACACTTTGAGGATCGGAATCTAGAGGATCATAAATCATTTTTCTTAAAATGAACTTTAGGGGAGATAATTTCCATGGCAGGGTTATATATTTTATGTCTTTAAGATGTTATTTCTTTAGATGTGCTATGAGTCGAGAAACGTCCAACAGTCACGCATTTTCTACTGGGCAATAGAAAAAGATACACAGAATGAAAAAAATGCACGATATATCTGCCAGAAACCCGCGAACAAATAAATTGTTTGATTGTGGAAGCACAATATGTTTTCTTACAATCTTTGGATTCATGAAATTGAATAAAATGTTCGATTTAATTGAATTGAAGAAAACGTTGAATTTAAAAGTTTTCTACTTATAAAGAGTTTAGTTCTTGTGGTATCGCAGACCTAGTTGGACAAAAGAATTTGGCGCAGAGTAGCGACCGCCCTTTCCGTTAAAATGAGACGAGATTCCGTTTTAAACCAAATAACCATCTAAAATTTTCATTTTTAAAACAATTTACCTCTTTCTGGGACTTTTTTGATTTTGTTTGACAAAATTGAAACATTGAATTTTGGGTGTAATTTGGTTTACCACGGAATCTTGTCACTAGTGAGTCAAAAATTCCATTTTTTTTCTTCACAAAAAGCTAGAGTGCCTTCCAGATTTTTCAAAATTTCAATCTTTGAGCCATTTTTTATCTGAGAATCTGGGATTTTGGCGCGGTTGAACGCCGACGATCAAACCGTCGTAACAGCTACAAGGCAGGAATACCAATATTTTTTTAGATTTCTGAATTGTTCAAAAACACCTTTAGCAAGCTTTTTGCAAAATGCCAAAATGCAAAATGCAAAATGCAAAATAAAATGCCAAAAGTTAGGTCCTCGCCGGGATCGAACCGGCGGCCTTGCCCGTGTAAAGGGCACGTGACCACCACTACACTACAAGACCGCTTTTTTTTCCGAGGCCGTAAGCGTATTTTAGCGTATTTTACAGCCAAATCTTGATACCGATCTCTACTTGCAAGAAGTAAAAAAACCGCATTTGTATCCGATGTCCGGATACAAATGCCGTATCCGATTGTATCCGATTGTCATAAAATTCGGCACTCTTCGCTGATCGGATAGAGAGCGTCGGTCATTTGTAAGTGAGCGCCACGAAAATCAATAATCCCGATTGTGTACCGTTTTGCTTTCAGATTTTCTGCGTAAAGTCTGAAAAGTGGATTGACAGCCGGGCGCTGAAGTCTCCACAGCAGTTGCGAGCTTACGCTTAGTTTAGCTTAGCCAAGCTCACGGCACTCACGGTTCCCAAGTCATCTCTGATCCAAGTACTAACCAAACCCAACGTTGATTAACTTGGCAGATCGGACGAGATGCAGTGTTTTTAACGTGGTATGGTCGTAAGCAAATGTGCGGCTGTATCGCCGAAATTCCTCAAGAAATCTCTTAAATCCAAATTCACAACTTCACCCTTTCATCTCTCATCGTAAGCTTTGTTTTCACTATTTCAGTTGTCTTTCCCCGCCCAACACTCGCTTACCCATCGTTTCACTAAAAGTGAATCAACACTCCTCCTCTAAACTATGAAAAATGAAATCAAGCCACAAAGCCATTTCACATTTTTAGTTTATTTGTGCATCCCCTAGCGGAGACGCGTTCCAAAATTCTTTCGAGACACTGTTGCAAGGTCTCGGGGTTAATGCTAACCTCAAACTTGGGTAATTAAACCGAAGAGTGAGGCTTCTGTCGCGCTATGTGGACCGGCCGTATGCCAGATGCCACTTTTTCTTACGAGACGCAAGAAAAGTACACACAGTCGTGTCGTCTGCGAGGGCTGATCCCTCGTGTTCTCGAGCCTATTTCACTCGCTATTCGGACAAATATGCGGCGAGAAGAGAGACGAGTGAAATAGGCGGCCGCCATCGAACACGAGAGAGCATCAGGGCTCGCAGAGAAACACGACGACACGACGGTGTGTACTTTTCGTGTGTCTCGTAAGAAAAAGTTGCATCTGGCATACCGCCGGTCCACATAGGGCGACAGAAACCTCACTCTTCGGTTTAATTACCCAAGTTTGAGGTTAGCATTAACCCCGAGACCTTGCAATAGTGTCTCAAAAAATTTTGGAACGCGTCCCCGCTAGGGGATGCACAAATGAACTAAAAATGTGAAATGGCTTTGTGGCTTGATTTCATTTTTCATAGTTTATCAAAGAGTGTGTGCAATTGTTGATTCACTTTCAGTGAAACCATACGGGAAATCGTCCAATATATATGGTGGGGAAAATTTTGAAAAATACGGGTTCTCCTAGAGTTGAAAATTGATTCCCAGCATTATTTTGGCATTTTCATGCCAATAAGATTGTTCGAGTTTTCGGAGTAGTTTGATTACCGAAATTCTTCAAAAGGAGATTACCTTCTGAAGAATTTCGAAACTTCTAGCTGAAATGGTGGTAAAAATTGGGTATTGGAGGTGTACTTTAGGAGAGTGCACAATCGCGCGCCCTTTTGGCACACGCGGCAGATAGATAAGGAGAAAGCGACCCTCAGAGTCGGTTTAATTACCGAAGCTTAAGGTTAGTATTAACCCTGAGACTCAGCTAAAATGTCTCGAAATTTTGAAACGGATTTCCTTTTTGGTGAATTCCACAAATCTCGAAAATTCGATCACTTTGAATCCTTCTTGCAACTCTAATCCAAAAGAATCCCTCTACCTAACACATTGATCTTATAAGTTGCATATTGTAAGCAGAAATAAAGAAACTAGAATTGGAAATTAAACTTCAGTCCAAATCGGCTCTTTATATCATCTTCAATTTATCCGATGACCTCGTTGCACCACTTGGAATCAAATGTTTCTTTCAAATTCAATCAAATTTTTGAGCTTTAAAAGTTTTCAATTTCTTTTATTTCAAAGAACATCTTGTCATCCTTGAGTTTCCGAATTCACAGATCGTTTTGTTCACTTTGCGAAAAAAAGAAAATTACGGGAAAGCGCGGTGTAATCTGGTGATAAGACAATTGATGAGCTGACCCTTGACCTTTTCCTTTTATTGATCTTCATTTCTCAAGTCAAGTCATTCTTCATTTCACTCAAAATGATCTCCAAAGAACATGAGCCATTCATCGGTTTCGGTACAACGGCTGTCCATGCGGGACAGGAGTCCGAGAAATGGGATTCGAATCAGGTGAATGATTGGAGAGCTTAAAACTTGACTAGCTATTGATCGTCAAAAAGAGGATAAAGCTTGACTGGCGAAGTAACACTTGTCCGTGATCGATGCGATGCGAGCGTAACTCGTAATCGAATTTGTTTCGGTTACACGATCCTCAATAACTATTTTTCGTTTACGTTTAAATCATTTCAAAAGCTTCAATTATGTTGCACAAAATTCCTTACCTTAGAAGATCTAGCAAATCGAATTTTGCTAATGCTGTACAACTTTCTATTTCGATTTCTAACTTTCTTTCTATTTCTAACTTTCTATAACAATTTCTTTGCAGGTTGTTGCCCCGATCTCCCTCTCGACGACTTTCAAATGGGAGAAACCCGGGGAAATGCCCGAACATGGATATGCGAGAACAAGCAATCCGACTCGAGCTTCTTTGCAACAATGTATTGCTGCGTTAGAAGGAGCCAAGCATGGTGAGAATCTAAAAAAACGATCTAAATAACGATTCTAGAATCAAACTTTTTATTCGAAAATCTTCAGCCACCGCTTTCTCTTCGGGATCAGCTGCTTCAGTGGCTGTTTTTGAATTGCTCAAATCTGGCGATCACGTTCTGATCGATCAAGGCGTTTTCTGGGGAACGACGAAGATTTTGAGTCATGTGGGTTCAGTTGAAAACCTCAATCGCAATCTCAATCTCAGTTGGAAAGCCATGGGATCACGTTCACCACTTTCGATTTCACCAAACAAGATGAGATCAAGAATGAGCTGCAAAAGAACACAAAGGTGAGCAAATCTTACTCTACAATCGACACAAAATCCTCAGTTGGTTTGGTTCGAAACTCCGTCAAATCCTCTGCTTCGTGTCATTGATATCAAACGAGTGGTCGAGATTGTCAAGAATTACAACTCTCACATTTTGCTGACCGTTGATAACACTTTTGCGACACCGTACTTCCAAGTATTTTTTCCTCCGTTTTTGGCTTCAAATTTCTTAATTCCCAGAAACCGATCGATTTCGGAGTGAATATTGTCGTGCATTCCATGTCAAAATACATTTCCGGTCACTCAGATGTGATCATGGGAGCCGTGATCACAAATTGTGATCAGATCAATAATGATTTAAAGCGGATACAGAATGGTAGGAAATCGGGTGCCGAGATAGGCTAATAAGCTTCCGAATTTATTTAAAAGTTTGAGTCAATTAAGCCCAGTTTCAATTGGTAGACTCAAATGATAGCTTCAATCGATTGGCCAATCCCGAAAACCCCCGAGTACAAACATACAGTTGAATATCTTCTTTTATATCTACATCTACAAAGGAAAAAGCCCTATATAAAAGACGTCAAGGTGTTCTTTTTGCCGTCGCGTAATCGCTCTCCATCTGGCGCACCCGTCTGGCATAGGAGGCTTCCCTTGGAGTCGGAAATGTACAAGGGAAGGAGCGGTCCGGCTCCTCGGTTTCTGAAGTCACTGTGCCTAAACTTCTTGTGATGAATTTTTGCCTTAAATCCAGCCGTTTTTTGCTCCAAATTCTACATCCTCTTGAAACTATTGTCTGACTTAAACAGCAGTTAAACTTATGGTCAAAGAACAAACCGATAGCGAGACTTGAGCATCCTGTCTCGAATCCGCATCACAATGCCCAAATTCCAGTCACTGGTGCCGTTCCCTCACCATTCGATTGTTGGCTGGCTCTCCGGGGAGCAAAAACCCTCCATTTGAGAATGGAAAAACACTATGAGAACGCCTTGAATATTGCTAAATTCTTGGAAAAGCAGGAACTTGTTGAAAAAGTAAGATTATTATTAGAAGAGTTCTAATCTCTACTTCAGGTAATTTTCCCGGGTCTTCCCTCCCATCCCCAATACGAGATCCATCAAAAACAATCGAGTGGATCACCCGGTTTGATCACCGTTTTCTTGAAGGGAAATGTCGATGAAGCGTCGAGATTTGTTCACTCGTTGAAGGTGAGTCTGTGCCCCAGCCGGTACACTCAATTTTTTGGTAGCAAATCTAACTGATGCATTGAGGAACTTTTTTGATTTTAAACAAAATTTTGCATTGAATTTGTGGACCAAAGTACATCAGCTTTATTTTCGTCAAAATTTTCATTAATTGCATTTGTATTAAGTAATTCGTTAAGCATTCATTTCAATATCGATTGCGACAAAAGATTTGAAATAATCGGGAAGATATCGGAGATTCTCTTTTACCTAGAATTCATGTTCGAAGACCAGACCAGGTCAGGCCACTGACCCAGATCTGTCTTTGGATTGACCTGGCCCGATCGTTTACCATATCGTTGGCAATAAACAAAGATTAGGAACTAAAAGCTAGCCTAGTACAGTATCTATTCTTCTTTGGCACCAGATCGATGTAAATACCAAATCCAAAAGCCAGTTAGCCAGAACAGTTGGCCAGAACAGTTAGCCAGTCAGCCAGAACAGTTAGCCAGTTAGCCAGGCCCGAATGTGGACTGACCACTTCCGACGAGAGTTCCCTCATCGGATGATAGCTCTTCATCTTTTACCGGTTCTTCATATCGATTCATCAATTCAAGTTAAAAATGTAGCACTTATTAGGAAAATTTGCTAGAATGTTACCGACAAATTTTTCATTTATAGCCTGGTTTTGCTACCAAAAAGCGCATCAATTTTTCTTTGTGCCTCCAAAATCTTAAGGAAAGATTACATAGCTTTTCAAATTACGTATATCATGGCGTTTTACTCGCACACTACAATCATAACTTTAATTTAAATCTCAGCTCTTTACATGTGCCGCATCGTTGGGCGGCGTTGAATCGCTCGTCTCTCATCCATGGCTGATGTCATTCAAGGATAACATGGATGGAGAAAAACTTGGGATCAGACGTAAGACTCTGAAAATAACATTCAAAAAAATGCAAACAATTCAGCTAATATGATTTGGTTCTCGGTGGGAATCGAAGATGTGCGAGATTTGGTCGTCGATTTGGAGAGAGCTCTGAAAATGATGCAATCATAAAGATCATGCCAATCTTGAACAAATTGTAAACTTTTAACAAACAAATTATGCTCTTTAATACAATACAAATATTCTTTATTTGGCTTTACAAACGGATAAATCCACCAACCAAAGCAAACCATAGTTTTCCTGAAAAAGCCGAATTTCGGGTCGCCACTTGGGTAACTAAACCGACCGAAATTAGGCAATTTTACAAAGAAAATCTATAGATTTTTGATTGAATCACCGTTTTAGAACGTGATTGACCCTAAAACCTCTATAAATTATTCAGAAAGCTGATCAAAATCTGCAAAATTGACGCTTTCTGAAGAAAGCACGGAAATCGAATGGTTCAAGCTGATTTCAATTCTAAAAACTACGACTTTTGACTTTTGAAATCGAGTTGAAAACGGATTTTTCCACCTTTATGAGCATCAAATATCAAATATCAAAACAATCATTTGAAGTTAAACAAAATTGATTTGGATTTTAGAAATTGTTAAACAAAATAACAAACAAACTGATAAAGAGCACACAAAAAAAAGTGAAAAGCACAAAAAGAACATTGCTCTCAATTCGTTTTCTATTTCTTTTTCGTTTTCTAATTTTTTTTTTCAGTAATCCTCTTATCAAGAGATTCCACGAGAGAACAGTTGTTTGGTTGAAAAAAAAAATTGAAAAAGGGTCAGAGATCGTTAAACTTGATAGGCTGACGGCAGTTTCCCAGTCGATTTCCTGACCATTCGCCTGTTTGAGCCTACATTGCATCAGCCATTCTTTAAAATATAAATACAGTTCTGATAAAAGTAGTCAGCTAATTGACTTCAGGTCACCTTTTCAAGATTGTTTAACACCTTTGTTTTTATAATCTTTTGAACAATTTTTGGTTTTGAAAGTCAAAGTAGGCTTCATTGATTCTTTGCTCAGCGCAATTTTGACTTTTTGAATCTCTCAAGTAATCTGTTTTCTAAAACCGGTCAAAAAACTAGGTTTGGGGATTTTGTGAAGCAAGCAAACTATCATATTATTTCTTTTGGGTTGGTGAATTGAAAACTGCGGAGCTTTGAACTAAAATTTATTGAACATAAAACCATGAATTCATTCGAAATAATTCCCATTATTATTGACGATTTCTGCCCATTTTAGAGCAATTTGTGGATTCCTCTTTCGTGGTAGGATTTTGGTTTTGAATCGAAAAACTTTCAAAGCCAATTTTTGACTGCTTTCTCCGAATCGAAGTGTTCTCCTGCAAGCTCATTATATTGATTGCATTAAGGGTCGTCTTAACAAACAAACTATCATTTCTTAAAAGCAAACAAACTAACAAACTATCATATTGTTTCTAGCTACAATAATTCTCTAGTTTTTTAGCCAATTTTTTACTTTTGTAAATTGGAAACAAGATTACAGTTTTTATGCTATATTTTACTTAAGTTTTGCAAAAAATGAGCTCAAATCACGATCATTCGTTGATTGGCTTTGGAACAATCGCTGTGCATGCTGGACAAGAACCCGAGAAATGGGATTCGAATCAGGTACGTGAAATGGGCCAATGAGTTGAAAATATTTGGTTAAAACCCAAATCCCAAATCAAATGTCAAATCCCAAACCAAGTACTACTTTATTCAACCCAGCCTTTAAAGCATTATCGAAACAAAGCAGTTTCTAAATGAGAAAAAAAGAGAAAGTTGTCCCTTTTCATAGTGAGAATCTCACTTTTCCATCAAATATCAAATCTAGAGTGTGCTCCTCGCGAGTAATGCGTTTTTTAAAACGCACACTTGCGACAAAATTACCGTACTTTTAGCAAAAATTATTCAAAAACTTTTAGCAAAAAAAATGACGCAAAAATCACGAGGCTCCCATATACAACACTTTTTAAAGATACTCAGCCGTTTAACTGATTTGGTGGGAAATTCCCTTCCAATGTAAAAAATGATTTTTTTGAAAAACCTGCTCAAAAAATTGCTTTTATATTTTTTTACGCACAGGCGCACAATTTTTAGAAAACGCATTACTCGACAATTACTCGAGCTATTACTCGAGTAAAAAGTTATTCATGCAAATTTACTCGAGTAATTACTTACTCGCGAGGAACACACTCTAATCAAATCAATCATTTGAATTTCAACAAAATAGATTTTGATTTTAGAAATTATTAAACAAAATGAAACAAAAACTCTTTTAAAAGCTACAAATCCTATTGTTGATTAATGACAATTGGTCTTAAACTATTTTTGCAATCGAAATCTTACTTCGAAGCATTAGTTACAATTTCTGTTGTTCAAAACGCTCAAAAAAGACTCCAGCATTGTAGAGGGATCAAACCAAGAACCCTCTCTTTAGCGCCAGACTGACACACAGTGCCTTAGACCACTTGGTCACACTCTTAAGGGGAAATCAGAAATCGAGAAACCGTGTTTTTACAAAAAAAATCGCCCGTCTAACCCACAAAAGTAATTAAATTTTTGGGAAATACATAAACTTTTGGATATACTAGTCAAATTTTCAGACTGTTTCGTTCGGCCGTTTTTTTCTAAAACGGCGAAACAGACAGACATACTCTCTCGCTTATGATATTAAGTTAATAATTTAAAAGTAGTAATATGCACATAATAGCCAATAAGTAGGATTTCTAGGTGGTCGCCCCAATCTCCCTCTCAACCACTTACAAATGGGAACGAGCCGGGGAAAAGCCGAATCACACGTATTCCCGATCGAGCAATCCGACTCGAGAAGCATTACAGCAATGTCTAGCAGCTCTGGAAAAGGCGAAATATGGTTTGTTGTCAAATTTGAAGCTCTTAAAAGTATTTCTTTTAGCAACTGTTTACTCGTCGGGAGTTGCTGCTGGAATGGCCGCTTTGAATCTGTTGCAAGCTGGAGATCATTTCGTTGTTGACTCTGGGTCTTACGGGGGAACGCTGAGATATATGAAAGATGTATGATTCTTTAGAAATTGGTTCACTTAGTACTTTCATATTTCAATTTCTAGATTTGTGTTGGTAAACATGGACTTCTCAGCACTGTCACCGATTTCCTCGACTATGAACATTTTGCTGAAGAGATCAAAGAAAATACAAAGGTTTTTTGGAGATAAAACTTGAAAATATGAAATTTAGTTGGTTTTCTTTGAAACCCCGACGAATCCGATGCTGAATATCATTGACATTTCAAAAGTCGTCAGAATTGTCAAAGAGAAGAACCCGAAAATTCTTGTTGTTGTCGATAATACGTTTGCGAGTCCATATTTTCAGGTGATAACAAGTACTGCTTGAGCTACTAACAACTACAAATACTACTTGCACTACTTTTAGATAAGTGTCAACTCCAGAGCTTCATAGCTTACACAGATTCATAGCATAAGCTAAAATTCATAGAGTTTGGGGTACGACCCGCTTTAACCTTGTCATCGGGGATGACTTTGCTTCAGAATAGCCGAGTAGCACAAAATGGTTAAAAGGGTTTTCCCAAAACGCTTACAACATACCATAGACTACAATTTTCTTACAGAATCCACTCTCACATGGAGCTGATATTGTTGTTCATTCAATGTCCAAGTACATCAACGGACATTCCGATGTGGTGATGGGAGCTGTTATGACGAATTATCCGGAGATTCACCAAGAGCTGAGAAGAATCCAAAATGGTTGGTGGAAATGGCGAGAGTGAATCCTTTAAACTATCAAGGCTGGGTCAAAGTAAAGTATCCAAAATTTAGTCGACTTTATTTGATACTGACAAGGGAATTTCAACCGGGTATGGTGGTCAATACAGGAGCCATATACTATTCGACGCAGAATTTCAAGCTGATTCCGAATCAGCTTTCCGTTTTTGCTAAATAACACTCTGTCAAAAGTTCTAGGCCTTGCAAAGTTTTGTATGGAATTTTAAAAATCATCCCTCGAGTTTACAAGCAATTTCCCAGTGGCCTTGGAAATTAGTGGTGGCCGAGTGGTGGTGAGCTAGAATACAACAATTTAAAAAAAAGCTAGAATAGAATGCTAGAATGGGCAAAGTCTTCCCGGTTCGAGTCCGCAATAATCATTGAAATCCAAAACATCAAGCCTTCGCGACATTGATGGCATTCGTCGATTTGACATTTGTCGATTTTAATTTAACTACAGCTACACCAGGCACAAAAAGCGAGACAATTTGTATCCTCACTAGGGAAAATATTAAATTTGAAACAAGCATCGTTTGAAGTATCGAATGAAACTCGCCCATTTCACTTTGTTGATTATTGTTTCATTTTAATAGTTAAAAGTAAACATTTTATGAGAATTATTTTGAAAAAGACTTTTAGTTGAAATCGAGATCAATTACCTCTAAAAAAACCAGGAAAAGTTAAACTGCGAACTCGAACCGGCAAGACTATGTTTTGTATTCTAGCTCATCACCACTCGGCCACCACTACCTTCCAAGGCCTCTGGGAAATTGCTTGTAAACTCGAGGGATGATTTTTAAAATTCCATACAAAACAAAACAAAACTTTTTAACGCCTAGAACTTTTGACAGAGTGTTGCGTTGCAAAAACGGAAAGCTGATTCGGAATCAGCGTGAAATTCTGCGTCGAATAGTATATGGCTCGTGTCATTTGCTCGCCATACCCGGTTGAAATTCCCTTGTGAGCCGAAAAATTGAGCCTTGGTGACTGTAGCCTCATTGTTAAAGCTATGACATTTTCCAGTTGGCGGTTCAATCCCTTCGCCATTCGATTGTTGGTTGGCTCTTCGTGGAATCAAGACTCTTCACCTCCGAATGGAAAAACACGCTCAAAATGTAAAAATCCTGGCTGAATACTTGGAAAAACACGATGGAGTTGAAAAGGTTTGATCCGGGGAAATATGAAATATCGAATTTCCAGCTAGTTTGCGTCGCTTTACCGAGCCATCCTCATTTTGAGTTGAACAATCGACAAGCAAGTGGAGCACCTGGGCTCATCTCACTTTTCGTGAAGGGCGGACTAGAGAAAGCGACTTGTTTTCTGAATTCGTTGAAGGTGGGTTTGTTGACGAGATGATATCTACCGTAAATACTGTAATAGTACCCCACCCCCATAATGACGGTGCGCAGTGTTACGTAGTCTAGCTTTGAACGAGTTTTTCTCGACACTGGTTTATACTATAATGCGCGCTTAGATATCAAAACATAGCCCTGAATTTCAGCTATTTTTTTGATACCAAAGACGCGTTTTTTGAAAGTACGGGCGCTTTGAAAAAAAAATAAAATACTAAAAAACTTTTGCGACTACGCGACTGTACGAGGGGGTGAGGTACTATTACATTATTTACGGTAGTTATTCTTAAAGCTATAGCATTGGGTTGAAATCGTTCTGAAAATTTGAATTTTGAACTTGATATCTCTCTACGGAATGGAAGGGATCAAAAGGGGTAGGGGTGGAAGGGTATTTACGGTAGATCTTACTTTTCAATTTACCAATCCAACTATTTTAAAGTCGCAGAAACAAAGATCGAACTGAAAAGAATAACAATAGATTAGATAACAAAAATCTATGATCCAAAAGCTTCTAGATTTTTACTTGCGCCGAATCGTTGGGTGGAGTGGAATCCCTGGCGGCTCATCCATCTCAAATGTCTCATAAAGAGTTGAGTCGAGAAGAAAGGGAAAGATTGGGGATTAAAGGTTCGATTAAAGTATCCGTAAATTATTTACAGATTTAAATCACTAGAAAATTTCAAAAATTCAAAAAGCTTTAGATCATTTGGTTCGCCTCTCGGTGGGTATCGAGGACCATCGAGATTTGATCGCCGATCTTGAGCAAGCTTTCAAAAAAGTCCAAGAATTGTGATTAATACATTGAAAATTGATTTCTGTTTGATTATAAAGTTATTTTATTTGTTATTTTCCACTAAAACTAGAGAATACCAAGCGCAAAAAGGAAAAGAAACGCTTTTGCAATTGAGCATCTTTTAGGAAACGGTTCCACGAGTCACGTATACCGTACACCAGACAGAAATTGGCTTTGCGACGCAATTTAGACCCTTGAATAGCTTTACTTTTCAAAAAATGATCATTATTTCCAAAAAAACAATTTATTCATTCTTGCTTTGCCCTTTTCTCCGTACCTTCGTTATTCAATTTGTCTCGGAAAATTGAAAGTCATCGGTTTCATGAAAGGCGCTAAAATCCACACTCGAAAACTATAATTTTTTTTGTAATAAACTCACGTTTACAAGTGATCATTTGAAGCAAATCGATCAAAAACATTAAAAAAAGCTCAAAAAGCTTCATTTGAAAGCGATGAAATGGCTCAAGGATCGAGTTTTTGACTTGATATTGAAGTGTTTACGAGAATAGATCACCGACAGCATTTTGACGCAAGAAGCGCTATTTTGAGAAACGCTAAACGTTGAGAATACAAATTTTTGAGATTTCCATTTGTTTTGACTCCAATTTCCTTTTAACGTTTCGAAATTAACGTTTGACTTTAGGTGAATCGACGGTGAGATCGATGGGAGTTTGGTCCAAAATTGCCGCAAAATCCGACGTTGACTTTGACGAGTGACTAGAAGATCGGGGATTGCTATGGAAAGTGTGCAACCATCCCAATTGTAAAAGCCTGATGAAAAGCGGAAAAATGGAGTCATCTACAGATATGAATGTGATAAGAGGGATTGCGAGAAAAAAAAATAGGACATTTAAAGGTTTGGCAGTTAATTTTAACTCTCATAATAGTTAGTTTTTAAAATGTTTTCTTTGATCGTAGTCTTGCTAATCGCAAATCTTTTTTGCTCCGTTCGTATTTATGACTCAATGACATGGGAACCGTAGAACAGCAAGCTAGTGAAGTCGAACTGGATTGAAAAGCAGTTGTTCAGTGGCACCAATTCTTTTGTGATATCATTGTCGATCGATTTAAAGATCTTACAATCGCAATAGGAGGACCCGGAAGCGTTATCGATGAAACCTGTGTGGTTAGAAGGAAGTAGAAGGTTTGGGGAAGGAAGTATACGGTTGGCGAAGGAAGTAGAAGGTTTGGCGAGTCGTTAGGAAGGATTGGATTGTAGGAGGAATCAAGACGAGCGCAAAGGAAGCTTTCATAGAATTAGTTGACACTTGAGATGCAGTTACTTTTGAACGCGTAATTCAAAAATATATTCTTGCCGGTTCTACGATACACACGGATTGTTGGTCTGGTTACAGCAACTCGGCAACTTTGGGTTATGTTCACTGGAGGGTCAATCATAATTAAAACTATGTCAATCTTAAAAATGGTATTCATAACTAGCAAATAGAGTCCCTTTGGAGCCCAAACAAGAGAAAAATTAGAATGAGCAATGGACTTAGCGGAGAGTATTGGGACGACCATTTTTTTGAGGTCTTGTGGCTGTTGCAACGCTCCGGAAACAATCTAATGTACGTCTTCTGGGAAGAGGTCGTTGCAAAATACTCTATACTGCAAAATGGTCGTTGGAAATACAAAATACTATACTGCAAAATACTCTTCTAAAGCCAATTAGATATATTTTACTCATTTTTAGTTGTTTTTATTTTGATTGGAAAATTGCTGTGGTCTATGTGATCTATTTTCCACGGTCGAATTCTAATTGTACTTGTGCCAATAGAAAAAGTCCCAAAATGATTACGTATTCTCGTCTTGATGAAAAAAATGACTTTTATAATGAAAACGCAATGTTTTTGTATGTTTCCCATGTTTTCCCAATATACAAACACTCGACTCGACGGGCAAATGTGCCTGGGGTATTTCCTTGTCTTGCAACGGCTAACTTTGTGATCAAGGATCATTGATAACATTAAAAGAAATCTATATTTTTGAATTTTGAATGTCAGAAAATCATTTCCATATTGCTAACTAAAAAGTTTAGTGTTTTTCCGAAAAATATGGGGCGAGATGAGAGACGAATGAAATAGGCGGCCGCCAGCGAACACGAGGGAGCATCAGCCCTCGCAGAGACGCGAGACGGCACGACTGTGTGTACTTTTCGTGTAGGAAAAATTGGCATTTGGCATATGGCCGGTCCACATAGGGCAACAGAAACCCCGGTCTTCGGTTTAATTACCCAAGTTTGAGGTTAGCATTAACCCCGAGACCTTGCAATAGTGTCTCAAAAAATTTTGGAACGCGTCCCCATTAGGGGATGCACAAATGGACAAATGTACTAAAAATTTGAAATCGCTTTAAGGCTGGGTTTCATTTTTCATAGTTTGTCAGAGAGTGTGTGCAATTGTTGATCCACTTTCAGTGAAACGGTGACGCGGAACCCACGAAAAATCGTACACCATATGGTGGAGAAAATTTTGAAAAATACGGGTTCTCCTAGAGCTGAAAACTGATTCCCAACATTATTCTGGCGCTTTCATGTCGATGGGATTGTTGGAGTTTTTAGAGTACTTGGCTTCCTTTTAAAGAATTTCGATGCTTCTAGCTGAAATGGTGGTGAAACGTGAGTCTTGGAGGTGTACTTTAGGTGTACGGACAATAGCGCGCTTTCTGGCACACGCGGTAGATAGATAACAAGAAAACGACGCGGCACATCTGTTTTTAATTATTGTTAAACGCTCTTAAAGAAACTAAAGTTCGAAATTCAAAAAGCAGGCGATTTACCTGGTTAATCTTTGCAAAAATTGCTTCCCAAGTCCTTATGTGGGCAAATCCACAACTTCACCCTTTCATCTCTAATCGTAAGCTTTGTTTTCACTATTTCAGTTTTCTTTCCCCGCCCAACACTCGCTTACCCACCGTTTCACTAAAAGTGAATCAACACTCCTCCTTTAAACTATGAAAAATGAAATCAAGCCACAAAGCCATTTCACATTTTTAGTTGATTTGTGCATCCCCTAGCGGAGACGCGTTCCAAAATTTTTTTGAGACACTGTTGCAAGGTCTCGGGGTTAATGCTAACCTCAAACTTGGGTAATTAAACCGAAGAGTGATGTTTCTGTCGCCCTATCTGGACCGGCCGTGTACCAGATGCCACTTTTTCCTACGAGACACAGGAAAAGTACACACAGTCGTGTCATCTCGCGTCTCTGCGAAGCCTGATGCTCTCTCGTGTTCGCTGGCGGCCGCCTTTTTCACTCGTCGCTCATCTCGCCGCATATTTGTCCGAATGACGAGTGAAATAGGCTCGAGAACACGAGGGAGCATCAGCCCTCGCAGAGACGCTAGACGACACGACTGTGTGTACTTTTCGTGTGTCTCGTAGGAAAAAGCGGCATCTGGCACACGGCCGGTCCACATAGGGCGACAGAAACCCCACTCTTCGGTTTAATTACCCAAGTTTGAGGTTAGCATTAACCCCGAGACCTTCCAACAGTGTCTCGAAAAAATTTTGGAACGCGTCCCCGCTAGGGATGCACAAATGAACAAATGAACTTAAAATTTGACGTGGCTGTGAGGCAGGGTTTCATTTTTCATAGTTTATCAAAGAGGGATGTTGATTTCAGTGAAACGGTGGGCAAGCGAGTGTTGGTCAACTGAAATAGTGAAAACAAAGCTTACGATGAGAGATGAAAGGGTGAAGTTGTGAATTTGGTCACATAAAAGGACCCACTTCTGGACATTGACCTCTTGTGTACAATGGTGTTGCTATTCAGCAAAAGAAATTTCAGATTGGTTACGCTTATTTTCAACCTCCTACCGAAGCCGAAAAAAGCGAAAGGCTCCGTATTGACTGTGACACCTTCTCGCGTAAAAACAAAAACAACAACATTTTCCCAGTCAAACGCTTCACAAAGTTAGTATTTGCGGCAATGATCGCTGGTATTCTTTAGGTGATGTCATTGAGTAAAAGTAACTAAATTCAACTCTTTGCAAAAGCGGGCAATTTTTGGGAAATATTTTTATGTACTTGATAGAAAAGTTGTTTTTAAAACTTGAAAACTTTTTGAAAGCCTTTGCCCAGTTTTCTTGGATTCGTTGTTCAAAAAAGCATTGAACTACGATATTTTATTGCAACTAAGAATCAATCAATAGATCAAGCTAATAGTTAATAAATAGTTAAAAAGGTTTTGAAAGCATATCTCTTGGCCGAAGTGACAAGTCAAATGTCAAGAAATATTTGAATTCAAATTTAAGAAATTCAAGAAATTGTCGAGAGAATTTAAAGAGTCTTCCGAATTTTCAGAGGTTCGGGATTTATTCTGGATTGGGATTGAAATCCATTCCGGATTGCGGCAAAAAAGCAAAAAGCCTACGGCACTCAGGATTCCCAAGCTGTCTCCGATTCAAGTGCTAACCGAGTCCAACGTTGATTAACTTGGCAGTTCATTTGTGCATCCCCTAACAGGGACGCGTTCCAAAATTTTTTAAGACACTATTGCAAGGTCTCGGGGTTAATGCTAACCTCAAACTTGGGTAATTAAACCGGAGAGTGGGGTTTCTGTCGCCCTATGTGGATCGGCCGTATGCCAGATGCCACTTTTTCTGACGAGACACACGAAAAGTACACACAGTCATGTCGCCTCGCGTCTCTGCGAGGGCTACCGCTCCCTCGTGTTTCAGCCTATTTCACTCGTCTCTCATCTCGCCGCATATTTGACGAGTGAAATAGGCTCGAGAACACGAGAGAACATCAGCCCTCGCAGAGACGTGAGACGACATGACTGTGTGTACTTTTCGTGTGTCTCGTAAGAAAAAGTGGCATCTGGCATACGGCCGGTCCACATAGCGCGACGCAGACCCCACTCTTCGGTTTAATTACCCAAGTTTGAGGTTAGCATTAACCCCGAGACCTTCCAACAGTGTCTCGAAAAAATTTTGGAACGCGTCTCCGCTAGGGGATGCACAAATCAACTAAAAATGTGAATTGAGTTAGAGCTTTGAGGCTTGATGTCTTTTTCAGTTTATCAAAGAGTGTGTGCAATTGTTGATTCACTTTCAGTGAAACGGTGGCGCGGAACCCACGGGAAATCGTGCAATATATGATGGGGAAAATTTTGAAAAATACGGGTTCTCCTAGAGTTGAAAATTGATTGACAATTGGTGATCCACTTTCAGTGAAACGGTGACGCAGAACCACACGGAAAATCTTACACAATATCGTGGAGAAAATTTTGAAAAATACGTGTTCTCCTAGAGCTGAAAATTGATTCCCATCATTATTTTGGCGTTTTCGACGAGATTATTTGAGTTTTTAGAGTAGCTTATTTCCTTTTAAAGAATTTTGATACTTCTAGCTGAAATGACGGTGAAATGTGAGTGAAATGTGACTTTAGGGGTCATCCGATGAAAGATATGAAAGCAAAAAGGACTTGCGCTCGGCCATAATTTGATTGTCTGAGAAAGGAAAACGAGTGATGGAGAATGCCGATCTTTTGAAAGAGTCTCACTCGGTCGTTTCAAAAGCCATCAAACGTTACAAAGAGACGGAAACAAAAAGCCGCTCGAGATGAAACCCTAGAAAAAGAATCAATGTCAAGCTTTGACAAACGTTCAAAAAAAAACGTTTGGACCGATGTACTGGACGGATGGACTTGTTAAACTCCAAATTAAACTCATCGACAAGTCCCATTCACAGCCGAAAAGCTTTACACCGTTCAACAAGTGCTTAATAAGCAAAACGACCGGGTTTATGCCTTATTCAATCCTTATCCTGCTGTTACTCTTTTCGGACTTCACATCCTGCTCCAATTATGGTCTTCGCTGGTATCGCGGCTGATGGAAAGACGCCTCTTGTTTTTGTTCCAAAGGGAGTCAAAGTCAACACACAAAACTGGAGCTTCTTGAAAAAGAAGTGAAGCCCTGGGCTCGAGGAAATTTTGTAGGTCGTACTTGGGCATATCAGCAGGGCCGTAGGCTCCAGCCCACAAACCAAAGATTGTTTAAGACTTTTGCCGGCAGAATTGCAGGTAAAAGAAGTATTGCCACATAAAAGGAGAAGCGTAAAATCGCCGAAATTCCTCAAGAAATCTCTTAAGAAACCCAAATCCACATTTTCACCCTTCCATCTCTCATCGTAAGCTTTGCTTTCGCTATTTCAGTTGTCTTTCCCCGTCCAACACTCGCTTATCCACCGTTTCATTGAAAGTGAATCACCTCCTCTTTGATAAACTATGAATGATAAAATCAAGACTCCTAGACATTTCACAATTTTAGTTTATTTGTGCATCCCCTGGCGGGGACGCGTTCCAAAATTTTTTGAGACACTGTTGCAAGGTCTCGGGGTTAATGCTAACCTCAAACTTGGGTAATTAAACCGAAGAGTGGGGTTTCTGTTGCCCTATGTGGACCGGCCGTATGCCAGATGTCACTTTTTCTTAAGAGATACACGAAAAGTACACACAGTCGTGTCGTCTCGTGTCTCTGCGAGGGCTGATGTTCTCGAGCCTGTTTCACTCTCCATTCGGACAAATATGCGGCGAGATGAGAGACGAGTGAAATAGGCTGAAACACGAGAGAGCATCACCCTTGCAGAGAAACGAGACGACACGACTATGTGTACTTTTCGTGCGTCTCGTAGGAAAAAGGGGCATCTGGCACACGATCGGTCCAGATAGCGCGACAGAAACCCCACTCTTCGGTTTAATTACCCAAGTTTGAGGTTAGCATTAACCCCGAGACCTTACAACAGTGTCTCAAAAAATTTTGGAACGCGTCCCCGCCAGGGGATGCAAAAATAATTTGAAATTTGTTAAAAATTTCCATAAGTTATGGATCTTATCTGCTAAAACCCAAGCGGACAGAGAACTTCTCCAATTTTAGCAGCAGCTAACACGACTTGTGATAAAACTTGAATGCAACCTTCTTTCGTGCGTTTTACCATAAAAGCAAAAGCAGTTGGCACAAAGCTAACACCGAGCACCTGAATTCAACGAAAAGTGGGTACTTGTGGAGTATCCGGGGGGGGTCTTTCAATATCCGGGGGGCAAAATTTTAAGATCCGGTGGGGTAAAATTTTAACTTTTTTATACTTTTTTTTAACTTTTTGACCATTCTGCTACTTTTATCAATCTTTTGCACCTATCGCTTTCAGAGTTTAAAAGAAGAACGAAAATATTGCTCATGATCTGATTAATGGTCTAAAGATCAATAGATTAACGCAAATTCCGTGAAATTTTACATTTACTTTTACATTTACATAGGCTTTGTAACTAAAAATAAAATTCTTGAGGCAAATGTTTAACCTTTTGTTAAACCCTTAAACTTAAACCTTTAAACTTATATCATTTTGCGTTAATTTTAGCGTTTTAAATAGAATTTCATCAATTTAGTGTGAAAATGTTTGCCGCCAACTAGGATATTATCAACATTTCTAATAATGACATAAAAAAATTTTGTAGAAGTTACGTTTTTGATCGAGTATCACCTCGAATCACGTAATCAAGTAATCACCTCAATAAATTGAATATCTTTACATTTGAAGGGAAATTGCCACCAAATCACTTAAGCGGCTGAATATCTTTAAAAGGGGTCGTGTATAACGTATATAAAATTTTACCCCCCGGGTCTTAAAATTTTACCCCCCCGGATATTGAAAGACCCCCCCGGATACTCCACAAGTACCGAAAAGTGTATGCATTACGAAGAAATCACTCATTTTCCGCGTGTCTTTCCCCTCATCGGTGGTTTCAATTTCAACGGTTGGTTTTTTTGTATTTTGTTTACCACTGCTTTTTTAGAGTTTTCTTTTATTAGTAATGTTTAAATGTTAAGCTTTTGTAAGTTGAAAGTCATGAATACTAAAATAAGTTTGGCTAGCGCATAAATAAGCAAGGTGTTGATGATTTTAAAACGATGCAACTAGAGTTGAGAGAAGTTTTCTTTAGCTTACCTAAATCCTTTGGGTTTTATGCTTTGTAAGGCTTCTCACGCTAACAAACCACTTTCTATCTACTTTCTTTAATTTTCTTTTTACAATGTGAGATGGGCAAAGTCAAAGAAGGACGGGATCGCAATTCGAAGCTGGCGTGACAACAAAAGAAGACGTCAAACGGAGGCAAATCGGTGCGTTTTGAAGAGGATGCAAACGCCCAAGCGGGATCCTGAAGATTGGGCTGGAGCCCTGGGCAAATGCTGGAATTTATGCTTGCTCATGATGCTTATGAAAGTTTAACAATTTAAATGAGAAAGAATTAGCTTGAAATACCTAGTTAGACAATCTTCTAACAAGATTAAGTACATCTTAACATTACCAAATTGATTGAACTAAAAACGGAACTGGTTATACTTTGAAAACACTGAAAGGATTAGCTTTAGGTTCTATTTTGTAGCGTGATTTAAACACTTACCAAAAACGTCATCGAGTTTTACTACTTTAGTAACAAATAAATCTACCATGCAACATAAATGTATATTATTTTTGTTTAGGATTATCGCGTTAGGGGACTAGCGGGAAAATCGCAAAGAGAAGGGGAAAACGACTCCATTGAAAGGACATTGCTCGAACCATAGCAACAAAAAACTGGTAAAGATTTTGATGTTAGATACGTTATAATGATGTTTTTAGATATTGAGCCAGCTGGCGCAAGCAATTCGTTTCTATATGGCCCTTGACACCGGTGGTAGCGCGAACATCAAACTAAGAAGGGGTCGAATCAAGAAGTCAGTCTGCACGATTAAGACGGCCGAGTGTGTGATGCGGGAATCTTTTATGGGCTATTCCTGTGAAAGAGGAAGCGTACTAATAGAGTAGAGGAGGGAATAAAATGCGTGTTGGCAAGATGAAAGTTAATTTCACCAACACACTTAGTGACGTTTGCTGTTTGCAAGATTGCAAAGCTGGGGAAAAATCTAAAGGGGTAGTTCCGAAATATTTCCGAAAGTCATCTTACACTGTTGTGTATCTAATGAACTAGTCTTCGTTCAAATTATTTAACGAATTTTTTAGGATGAGGAGCAAATTGCGATACTACTACTACTTTATGATCCTCTTCGCGACTCTGGCCATCTTCTGCGTTTTACTCGTCTTAGTTGGAGGTAAAGGCTTTGCTTTTAAAATGTATCGGGTTTTTAAGCCTCAACTTTGTTGTAGATGGGTCACTGAACATTTTGTTTAGCTATTATCCTATTCTCCGCACTTGGTCAACTTCGGAGCTTACGACGGAACCAAACAAAAAATTTGTGTAGGTAATTTTGCCACGGTTTAGTAAGATATTGTGTTTTTAAAGTAAGCTGCGCCTATTAAGTGAGCACAAAATAAGGTACAGAGTGTGTATATCGGTTCGATCAAATTCGGGCAATTTTAGAACAAATGTCAGCGCACGAAGACGTTGGGCAGCTCGAAGATGTGCATGTGTCCGGACGAGATTTGCCGCCACAAAGCGACGATCATCAACCCTAGACACATGATTGTCAAAGACAACGGTACGATAATGCTGAAAAAAGAGGGCTTTCGAGGAAAACATGCTTATCTGCTCGAACCAAAAGGAGATGAAACTGATATTAAAAAGCCCGAACTTTTTTGTCTGTAGGAACTTCTTCCCGTGTAACTTTATGTATTTTTTTAAAATGATTATGATTAATAGTTTTAATAAATCAGTTCGATTGGGTTGTTATTCAAAATGCTTTGAATTGATCTTATGGCGAAGGAGTGATTAGAGTTTTGTTACAGGGTTTTGTTTCTTCAATCACCATTGAGGTCTTTGAAGACTTGCTGTGCTTCAAAGCTGGAAAGTAAAAGACTGCCGAAGTTTACTGAAAATGCCCGAAAAGATGTACTTGAAATACTTTTAAAGAAGCTATATGTATTTGTAAGTCCAAAATCTTTACGGTATTAAACCGGTAAAGACCTCAGCGATTTACTTGCGTAGGCAATGTTTGAGTTCTTTGAGCAAATCTCTGTGCACCGTTTTGTCGCCATTTTATCATCTCTTTCTTGTTTTTTGTAGAAATTTTATTAGATGGACTGCTCGTCCTGCTCTATACACAGAACATGTGACACTCCCAAAAAAAGTGAAACAATAAATAAAACAATATCCCCGAGGTGTGAGAACAAAAACAAGAATCCCTATAAGAGGAGAAAGGGATCCTACACCCGAATGGAAAGACTAGTCCCCCACTCAATAAAAACAAAACAAGATAGAGAAAAAATGGGGAGAGAGGGGACACGGTTGCCCGTACAAAAATCATAAGGGAATATGTTTAAAGTTCATCCTTATCGTGTGGTTTCTCCTCTTCCTCCTCGTCATCATCTCCACCCTCGGCCTTCTTCGTGTCTTCCTCCTCCTTGCGTTTCTTTTCCTCTTCCTCTCGCTTCAAACGCTCTTCCTCGTCGTGCTTCTCCTTGGCTTCCTTCTCAGCGACCTAAAAGATTTGAAATTAGTAAGGCTAACATAAAGTTCCTACTTTACTAAGTACTCCCACTTTATTAGGTACTTATTCTTAATTTGTTTCAATAATCATTACTAAAGTTAAAACATACTCTTGCCGATCGAAACTAAATAATTTACCTTCAATTTATCGAAGGTCTCGGCGGCGTGAGCCTTAGCATCATCAACGGAGTCGGCAATGACGATGTTGTCGAAGATTGTTCCAGCCTTGACTTGCCAGATGTCGATTCCGACGGCTCCAAAGTCCTCGTACAAGTAGAGGTTGTCATCGGGCGAGTACTCTGGGTTGTCGATCTCGGGGTGCACCCATTTGCCTTTGTAGTCGGGGTTCTTGATTTGCTTTGGCTTCCACTCTCCCTTGTACTCGGGGTTGTCGATCATTGGTGGCTCCCACTCTCCGTCCATGTCATCGTCCCAATCCTCGGGCTTCTTGGCATCTGGATCGGGGATGTGCTCGGCCTTCTCCCAGTCCTCTGGCTTTGTGTCGGCCTCATCGTCGATGTACTCGCGCTCATCCCAGTCATCAGGCTTCTTCGCATCGGGGTCCTTGATCTTCTTGGCTGGGAGGAGATCGAAGTCGGTCTCGAGCTCTCCGCTTTCGGCCTAAAAATTAAATGTAAGTATTGGATTACAATAATAATAATAATAGCAACAAATTCGTTAATACTATAATTCCTAACTTTAATCAAAATACACACCTTCTCTCCATCGATTTGGACCTCGTAGGTGTTGTCAGGGTTGAGGATGAGTGTGTAGAGATGAGTGAGCTCGTCATCCTAAAAAATAACTGGTAATCAATTGAAAATTTAAATCCAAACCTTGCAACGAATCTCCTTCTTGATCAAATGGTTCTTTCCTTTGTAGCTGAAGATAACGTGGACTTTCTTGGTGGGTCCGCAGATATCAGGACCGAACATGATGTTGTATGGGGTCTCGCCGTGGAAATCCTTCAAGTCGGCATCCGAGCGCATAACCTAAATATGGAAATGTACACAAGTCGTTTGGTTATTAGCGTCAATCCATTTTAGTAAGTTCGTAAACAAACCTTCAAGTATCCTCCTCCGCAGTCGATTCCTTGTTCATGCTTGACGGTGAATTGCACAACAACCGATTTTCCTTTGTTGCTGAACTTTGGGTACGAAACACCTCGTGAGTAGAAGCGGGCATCCTAAAATAAGAAATTATTAAAAAGGTAAAGCTTCGTCATAACGTGCTCCTAATCAAATTTAAGCTATCACTCTTTTTCGACTTTTCCGCCAAACTATAAACTATAGTGAAATCTTTTCCCGGCGTAATGGGAGCCTCGTATAACTTTAACCTATTAGAATGCTAAAAGTGCGTATTCAAACTCAATTTTGTTTAAAACAAGATTATAGAAAGTTATACCTGAGATGTCTTCAATCCTTGATCACGCTTGGCATCACCGAAGAATTTGCCGGCGGACAGCTTGAACTCCCCGTAGTCTTCTTTGTGCTTCGACTGGATCCATCGTTTCTCCCAGCTGTCGTCGGAGAACTCCTCCTTAAAGTAGACTTCGGCCGCACAATAGGCCACGAGGGCGAGGAGAACGGGTACCGCTCGCATACTTTGGTAGAACCCGAGTGTCTGGAAAAAGAAAAAGATTAAACAATGGTAAAAAGTATGAAAACAAGAAATAAACAATTCCAAATGGCAAAATGGATTCTGGGTAGGATTTTTTAAAACAAAGCTCTAAAACTATGCATATGTTGCGTTGCTGAAGAATATTGCCAAACCTATTGGCTAAACAAGTCAAACATAAAAATGTAAAAAGTGATAAAGGTGGAAAAGACTATGAGAAAGTGGGTCGGTCATGTTGGATAAATACTAGGAAAGAACCACGAAGGCTTAGGACCTAAAGCGAACATGGCGTGCGGTGATTGGACCACGTTGCGGTTGACCAATCAACACGCACCAGCAACGCTCTTTCAACGGGGAATGGGCGTGGCAATGAGGGGACAAGGGGAAAAGGAGAGCCGCCAAAAAAGGACACCTAGCCGTGTGCGATTTGAAAAAAAAAATGAAATTTAGGGGGATTTCCGCGATTTATACGAATAAATAGGGAAACAAATGCATTTTAATTTGAGACAATATGCGAACTACGGTAGTAAAGGACAAAATTAGCGTTTTCTTTAACAGAAGCGTTTCTTTTTTCAGAAATTTAACTTTTTTGAGAACTACAGCACACTTTTGAACAATTTTATACATCCAATGGCTTTGTTTAATCCGGAATTCTTTGGATAAAGCAAGGAATATTTGTTTTTGCTCAATAATGGACACCTGTCCCCTCTTTTTTGCATCAATTATCGGCTTTGTGTACATGTGAGCTGTATAATGGGCACAGTTCTTGATGGGAATTTGAAATCTATAAAAAAATGTATTTGTTCCATGGAGTTCTGTGTTTAGGAACGATTTTAAGCAGCTTTATAGTCAAAAGCAAAATTTCCATTGAGTTTGCTTCTGCTTTCTAAATGGTGCTCTTTGGAAAAGCTAAAGATTTGAGTTTGAGTTTGTGTCAAGCTTGTAAAAATTTGAGTCAAAAACTGAACAAGTCAATAAGAGTACGGTAACTTTTCCCCAAGCGCACCTTTTAGAAAACACACCTACAATGAGATCATTTCTTTTTCGAAGCGATTTCCAAGAGAAGTTCCTGAAATTTTACTTATCTTCCAATTTCCTACTATCACAAACCTACAACTTTGTATCGTAAGCTCTCAAATAAGGCATGTACTCCTCGGAAATCGACTCGAATTTGTCACCCAACGCGCTGGAAATTGAAGGTTAACAATTTTGAGGAAATTCTTCAAATCTAGATCATTTACAGCTCAAAAATCCAACTCACTTGCACACGTCGTGCTCCTTTTTCGCGTCACTGTTCTTCAAGCCGTTAATTGCCTCAATTTTAGTGTTTAAACCCTAAAATTGAATTAATTTTGACTGTCACTGAAAAGCTACCATTTCAAAATCGCAAATTTTCACAAGAAGATCTTCATAAAGATTTGGGAAAAAGCGTTTGTGAGTGGTGATTTGTGTTGAGACGTGACTTTTCGTCTGCGTGACCAAATTTTCAACTTAATTTTTCTTGTTACAGACTGTTCACAAACGTTTAGAGCAGTTTAAAGCCTTATTTCCTTCAACTAGTCAAGTCTGGCAACTCTGATACCTAGAATTTGAAGTCCGAGGTCTTTTTGAGATTGAATACCAGACCTGGTAATCACAGCCAGTCTAGTACTAACATTAAGTTCACGAATTGCACTTAAGGAGGTCTACTGTAAATCGAAGTTGCTGGCTCCGAGATTAAACCAGCATTCCTATAGACCTAATACTTAGTCTAGCACGAATCAATGGATCAAGGACCCTCAGTACATGATCCATGAAACTTTGAATGATTCTACAATTAATTATCGAAGTGTCTAGCTGATATCAATTTGAAAAAAAAATCGCATAAGCAAAGAAATGGAAAATTGCCAACAACGGGAATTCGAAACCGACATTACTTTTTCCTCAACCTAATAAAAATGAAAATTTTGAAACTTTGAAACTAATCAGCATTTTTATGAGATTTTTGTTTCAATTAATGTTCAAGAATATAAAAATTCTTTGTGTTTTTGATTTCATAAGAAAAATGCGAAGAAATGATGGATTCTTTAATCTTTCATCTCACTATGATAAGAATTCTTTTTTTTTTTTTGAAAAATCCGGCAAGAATAGATTGTTTTTCGTATTTGCTAATCGTAAATCCGAACTTGTTTTTAGCTCTAATCAAATGACCACAAAATTGCAAATTTTTCGATCATTGAACTGCCCTCTATGCGATGAATCGTGTAGGTTTGTGAAGTACTTTTTGTAGCTGGCTTCATTATTGGTTGATTTTTGAGTTGTTACTGGATACCGAAAAGATTTCCAGATGCTCTGACTCACGGTGGGCTGATGATTGATAAGAAGAAGAATAGATATGTGCTTTCAGAGGTAAAAGACTGGTTTGTAAAGTACTCAATCCGTTTATTTCAGGCTTACACCGCGATTGAGTGCCCGAAGAGTGTTATTGTTTGGAACAAATCCATTACTCTAAAGGTTTTTTTTAGATTCGGTGAACGAAAAGAAACGAGAAGCATATCTGTACAATCACACGGTTTGCAATGAGTCGTACAGTAAAGCCAGGCCAGGCAAAGTCAACACCTGGACCAGAAGCCAGACCTCGGAAAAACGGAGATTCGAATGCTTTAAACCATCAAAATTCTACTTCATATTATATTTGATTTTTACAAATTTTTACAAATTTAACAATATTTTCAGGTACAAAATGCAAGACGAAAAGTTTCGACTTTCGAGCCGCTTTGTGGTATGATTTTTAATAAGGGAAATCGACGAGCTTGGTTGGAAACTTCTGCCCCACGCACCTTCTAGTCCGGACCTGACCCCGTCAGATCAATTTTTTGTTTCGGTCGTTGAAGAGTTTTCTTATGGGAGAAAATTTCGAGAATCATGCACAGATCAAAAAAAAGCCGTCGACACTTATTTTGGCTCGAAAACTCCCCATTTTTTGAGGGTGGGATCAAGGATTTGCGACAAAGATGGGAACAAGTCATCAATAATAATTGAGAATATCTCATTGATTGATGTGCGTTTGTTTATGTTTTTAGCAATAAACAGTTTTGTGACAAAAACCGACATTACTTTTTCCTCAACCTAATACATTGAATAACGATAGTTTTTTGTGTTTGCCAAAATAAATTAGAGATTTTGTCCAAATGAGACAAAAATTGAAGACGGTATCAATGAAGTTAAAGCACAAATTCGACTTTTTTCGATAGTTTGTTTTCCAATTGAGAAGCTGGAGCTTTGTGGATATTTTCTGTTCAAAATAAGATCCTTTCAGGGTTTTGAAAATGCACAAATATTTAATAAGCATAGAATTTTATACGAAATAAGGATGAAATTTCACAAGCCCACAAAATTATGTCGATTCTTTCCTCGAAGCTGCCACTTTGACCTTCTTTGCATCAAGTTCCCTGAGCATTTTCTGAAAATTTCAGAAGTTTCAACGAATTTCCTCAAAAACCACCTCCAATTTAGCTTCGTAACCTCTCAAATGCGGTAGGTAGACTTCAGAAGCTTCTTCGAAGTCGTCACCCATTTTTCTGAAAATCTCTCACAATTACTGTACAATTTTCTATTAGAAAACTAAATCCTGGATTTCAGGCTACCAAAAATTTACAAAATTCAAACTCCTCACTTGCAGTAATTTTTCTCCATCTTCGCCTCTTTGTACTGTTTTGATGGGATTTTCTCGGCTTTCATGAGAAGGAGCTGAAATTTGCAATGTTTCTATTTTCCCTAACATTTCCACCTCTTTTAGTTTCTCAATTTTATCCGATAAATTCGATTGTATCTTTGGGATCATGTACTCGTAAGTGGCTAGCTGAATACTCAATGTTTCGTGCGTTTCATCAGAGAGACGTTTGATCTGAAAGACAAGGGTTTAGTTGATTGACTCTACTTTGTACTTTGAACTTTTACAAACGCACACCAGCTAGGGTACTTGATCATGAACCTAAGCGCCAGGAATTGTGCTAACCCTTCTATTGGCCGGTCAGGCAAGCTCAGATCAAGTAAAGTGAATCCTGGGCTGAAATTGGCCCGGAAAGATTATCTTTGAGAAAGATTACCGGAAAGATTATCTATTCTAATTGTAAGATATTCGATTCAACTAGCTTTTCATCTTAAACCCACCTCATTTTGTGTGAAATCGTCCAACTTGTGATCTCGATGCGAACGAAGTCCGCAGGCACCGCAAATCTAAAGCAAAAATTTTCGTTTTCATTTCTTCAAAATTACATCTTCCTTGCAATTCTCGCAGTAAAACATGTCCTCGATTTGATGCTAAATCAGAAATTTGTCAATGTATCAAAGCTTTCCTTACTTTTCGCTCACAAGCTTCACATTCGAATTCTTCTGGCGCACTTGATTCGATTAGAATTACAGAACTGCCACTTGGAATTGATGAAATATCAGTTGACAACTAAAATTTCAAAATATTAAAAGAGTTTAGACTTTTACCTTTCCATTAGTGGCTTTTTTGATGGAATTAGTCAGACTGAGCTGCTCGATCATCTGCGGGAGTTCGCGGGCGAATTCTGGAATGAAACTGGTATCTTGGCTTCTTTTGGTTCAATGTTGGGATGTATTTTTTCACTTTATTACTTTTACTGTACTTGTTTTCAATCTTTTAATCAAACCTTTTAGTAATGGAACCTCATCGTAGACTTGACCAAACTCCTTTTGACACATCGGGCATTTTATCGTGAATTTTCCGCCAAAAATCTCCGAATTCCGGCGAGCCTTGAAGAAACAATCAAAACAAAGTGAATGATTGCAGAAAAGGAGAAGAGGAGCTCGGGTTGGAGTGTCTGAAATATAGGAATAAGAGTTTCTGAAATAGGCAGCCCATTTATCTGATCCAGATTAAAACCAGATTTCGTCTGGATTCTGTAGGCCTGTCTGGTACTTTTTGAGTCAATGCCTTGTTTTTTACAAACCCAGCTAGAGTGTTTTATTATTTAAAGTGTTTTCACTAAACACTAAAGTGTTTTCTAAAGCGTGTTAACTTTCGTTAAACTACCGTAAACTTGTCTCTTTTTTCTAATTCATATTTTTTTAGCTCTGGCTATGGCGCATAATGAATTTTGAGTCCGTTTCTTTTTTTGAAAGTGATAAAAAGTGATTCTTTGATATCGAAAGTGGATGATCGGATTATTTGTTTGCAGGATTATTCTTTAGTATTAGGTTGTTCGGATATAAACAAGCGTTACTAAACTTATTGTTGTGAGGGAAGCTTTTAAAACATGTCTTTCTGTATTTAAAATCTTGTGTATACCGTATTCTCTCTAATAGTAGTGCGCAATACTATTTTTTCAACCCCCTCCTGGTCCGCAATACTATTAGAGAGTGCACTACTATTAAAGAGTTTTATCATTCACCAAAGTAAGACAGATATAAGATTTGTTCCAAAAATTCTTGCAAAAAAAGCAACTTTCTAAAAATTTATTGGCTTCTGATAACAAAATGTTAACTAGATAAAAAAATCTATAACAGAATCATCATTTGAATCATCATCCTTATCCAGTTCAATATTTTTGAGTTGATCCTTTACTCCTTTGATCGATTGTTCGAGACGAGCATTGGCGAGAAGTGTTGCGCCTTCAGGAATCGGTCCTTCTTTTTTGAAGCAATGAATGATACCATCTTCAGAGCCATCAGTAGCTGTGGTAGAGGTAGCATGTAGAGGATGTACTCAATTATTGCTTTCACGTACTCATTTGGCTCCTTTTGACATACAGTTGTGGGCCGGCGAGTTGACAATTTGTGTCTTGACATGAATAAGTTTAGCCATCTCTCTGCCGAAAATTCCTCGTCACCTTTCCACATTAACTTGGCTTGGCATTGAATCATTTTTCGTGTCACTCGCATCTTCTTTGCTCGCATTTCTTGAATCCAAGCAACGAGATCCTTGTCAAAAACGATATCCTTGAGCTTTCGTCCACCGCTTTTGATTCGCTTTTTCCTTTTCCGTTATCTCTGTTTTGTTTCTCGAGTTCTTCCTTTTTCTGGCACCATTTTTGGATGTTTTGACGACTGACTCCAAATTTTCGCGCTGCAGCCGACTTATCCTTTATTTTTTCAGCAAAATCGATCGCTTTCAGCTTTGTTTGAATGTCGAAACATCGCCGCTTTTTCGCGGATGGTACATCCGATTCACACGAAGACTCCTCGGCAACATCGTTGGCCATGTTGTAGCTAGCATCTTGCTCGGTCACTTGATTGTGGATCCTCTTGAAGAATTGCACATGTTCCTCGTGTTCACGACGAGCTCGAAAATTCTCGAATCCATCAAGTGAGTTCCCATCGAGATCCATATCTAAAGAAAAAGATTATTTAGACAATAGTAAAGGTGACCAACAAAAATTATATAATATTAAAATCGAACATGATGGATTATTTTCTAGGATTGAGCTTTGATAACAATAAAGTTAAGCGCCACAAAAGGTAAGTCAATCTCAAACTTTATACAGGTATATAAGAGCAAAAAATGACTATAGCTTTGCGCGGAATTCGTAAGAAAATTTGAGTTAATGTACCACTAGAACAACGTGTAGAAACAACAAAAAGATGTTTTGGCACTTTGCATAACAATTTTAGTTTTTCTTGCTAACTTTTTCAGGTGAAGAATAGTTGAAAAATGAATAAAAAAGCCTCGATTTTGCTTGCTTGAATAGCTTTAGAATGCAACATAAACATAAAGATATTCAGTCAAAAAGGTTTAGATGAAAAAGGAGAACAATAATTGCAAATTTTCGAGGGTGCACTACTATTTTTTCAACCCCCTCTCGGACCGCAATACTATTAGAGAGTGCACTACTATGAGAGAGTGCACTACTATTAGAGAGTGCACTACTATTAGAGAGAATACGGTATTTGGAATCTTTTTAAACGGATAATTTCTTATTTTGAAGATCTTTTTTCTTGCTTTAGATGACCGACTTCAAACATCAAGTTCGTGTCTGCCTACTTTACGACTTTACGACTAAAACAGTCGCGGAATCCCATCGAGATTTGGTCAAAGCATTTGGGAATGATGTATTGTTTGAAAGCCGATGCCGAGCCTAGTTCCAACGCTTTCGGAATGGTGATGAAAGTCTCGAGGGTGATGAACACTCTCGTCGACCTGAAGCGGTAGACAAGGATATTTTGAGGGCTGCAATCGAATCGGATCCATGTCAAACGACGCGTGAACTTGCTCAACAGTTTCTATGTTCAAATTCTACTATTGATGAGCATCTCCACGCCATTAGAAAGGCAATCAGATGCGGGAAATGGCTTCCTCACGAGTTAAGCAGTGCAAACGCTCGTTTATATCCGAACAACCTAATATTTAGTATTTTTCGAAAGTCGACACTTATTAAAAACAAATCATCAAAGTTAAATCTCATTTCAAACTTTTTAAACAACACTCACAGTCTTCCTGACATATTGGGCACTCCGGCTTATCGAATTCCTTAAAAATTAAAATGAAATCCTTTTGCCTTAAATTCGCTCACCTTTTGCAGAATATACCCATTTGTTTCCGTGCAACGAACAAATGAATCGGAGGAGAGAAGTTCTAAAATTTGTTTTCTAAATCTCTAAATTTACTCCATACCAATCAAAAAGTAGAATGGATCAGCCAAATGAAAGCAATCCCCGTATTTACATTTGTGCTTTCTTCGTCCATTTAGCAATGGTTTCTCCTTGTTGTAACATTGTCGACAAATCGTCGTCCCACAATAGAGTTGAAGTGGGGAATGGGAATCGGTTGACGAGGGAGAGTCTAGAATGGGAAAGGATACAGTCTAAAGTACAATACTTAATTTAATAATGTTTTAAACACTTCCTAAAATCTGTTTTTGTTTATATTCATGGTTAAGTTACGGTAGAGATTGGCGAATTTTCGAATAACAACCTTTTGACGCCTCCCTTTTTACCCAAGAAATCCCTAAAGGCAAAAGTTTTCTCAAATTGCTAGAATCTGTTTTGGAGAGGAAAAACTAGATCTTTCTAATGGTTCAAACCGAAATTCATTGTTTTGGAACTTTTATTGCTTTCAAAAGAATCGGAAATAAACGGTTAAAACTTTTCATAGTAATAAAGCTAATAAAGCTTTTCAAGTCATAATTTTTTTTTCTAAAATAATTTCGAAACTTTCTTTACCAAAAAAAGCAATAAAACTTTCAAATTTTAAGCCATTCCCAAACTCACATGGCTCATCGCAAAGCGGACAATTTAACGATTTGAAGATTTTGATTTTTTGTGGAGATTTTGACATTGAAAAGAAGAAAATGAATATATTTAAAAATGAATATATAGAATGGAAAATCTCAAGCAAATGCAATAGTAAACGCAATGAAAACAAGTTATCTCTGTGTTCTTTTTGTGTCTGAGTCTCTCGATGACGCACACTCTCGGTCAAACTTTCGAAAATGAAGGGAAAAGGAATTTAGTTTCTGTTTCGAAAAGATTCCAAAGACAATATAAATTTGATAGTTTAAAGAATAAATATTGATAAAATGTTTTTTTAGATATTTCCAGTGTACAGCGAACAATTGGTTTCCCCATCAGAATGCGTTTTCTAAAAGGTATCCATCTTAGAAAACTACCGTAATCAAGCCGCCAGTTTTGCATTCGATCAGTCAAATTTCGATCATTCGATCATTGCAAGCCAATTATACTAAAATTGGGTTGCTCGAATGAAAACTGGAAACTTAATTACTTAATTTTTTGGATCTTTTCGATGGTTGACTGGGCGTTAACGAAAATCTATCGAGTTTTGAAGGGTAAAACTTTGATTTCAACAATTCAAGCAAGCGTCTCACAGCAATTCCGAGCCTTCGATGACCGAGAAAACATATGAACAACACAAAATGTTAACGATCTCTTTGATCGTTCAAATGGCTGTCCCCCTGGTCGTCTTCGAGATTCCAATCTTGGTGTCTCTCGTCTATTGTTTGCGGTTGAGGAGTGACGACTCGGAAACAGTTAATAGTTGGTTTTGCCTTAACAAGAAAACGTTCTAAACACGAACCATAACTTTCGTTGTCGCCAATTCCATGTTTGTTTTATTCTGTTTACACACGAATATCAACATCATTTCGATGATTTACCTGATCATTCCATACTAAATCGAGTCTCGTCGTTTGTTGGGCGTTTTTGGGCAGTGAAATTGTGATAACGTTTGTGGAGAAATGGGTTTTCTTTTGAATTCTTTCAATTTTAGCCCCCTCAGTACAGCAAAACTTATGCGAATTTCAAATGTTCCAACGAGCAGTCCCTGAATGTTTTGAGAGCAGTGATGAGAGGAAAGATCTCTTTACACAGTTCTTTTACAAAAAACATCAGACTTTTTTATCAGACACTCGATCACCGATCTTCTCCAGGTAAACATTGTCCAAAGAAAGCTGAAAAGATACCTCACTCTGTTTACCACTGTTTCCTCAAACAGCGCAACATTTACAAACTCTTCACATAGATTCTTTTTTCATAGATTATCTGTTATAGATTAGAAAGCTGTTTCTACACAACTTCTCGTCGTTTGGTTTTCTCTTTTCATTGCAGCTACAGATCTCTTATCAAGCTCTCGTGTGAGTGGATATTTGCCGCTTCTTTTCATGACTGATTAATATAAGTTGTTGAGTATAAAGAGCACAGAGCAAATGGAAAAACACATTTTTTTGCCAATGATATTTCAGACGATGAGA